AGCAATGGATATTTTGGTCGGTGAACTTGAAACATATCAAGATAATCTTGTAGTGTGGCGTCAAGTCGCGGTTGAATATGTTCATCACTCCAAGAAAGTTGCGTACCAGATATCAGAAGGCGATTGGAGGTTGTAGCGAGATATATTTGTTGGCGATCTCGTGGTATCGAAAGAATACCGTGATCGTGCCAAAGGAATACAAGCGGAATCACTGAGCAAACGTGAGCGCGTGCAAGGTCATAATCGACGGAAGGAAGAATGCATGTGTTTTGGTACAGTTAAACAAACAAGTACGGTAAAACAGTCCCTGGTACAATTGATTATAATAATAATTGTTTCCATTGCACCAGTCGTGTTCTCTTGATAAAAGTAGGCCAGTACAATCTCATAATTCAGGGTTCTGGAAACGTAGCTAGTGTCAGAAAATCATTGCTCTATTAATTCGCCTAATTAGAGAGAATGTTACTGCGAATCCAAATACGTTTATTTTGCGTGAGGTGATGCCACAAGTATTTGGAGTTTGACAAAACCTCAACCAGCAACACCTGTGGTCGAAATGTGTCCATCGAGTGATATCAGAAGCGAAGAGTTTTGAAGATATATTTGCCAGGTTATGAATATATCGAGAAGTGACTGAGTACCGCGTTCCCACTTGTGGTCTGATGTGGATACGTAACAGAGCGCCTTTCAACTAGGTGAGTCCATTAAAATTAATTTGGTCAGCATCAAATGTCGAAGACCTACAGAGTTATTGTTTCTGAGGATTTATTCACAAACTCAGAGAAAGGCACTAGCTTTGTTTCGTGGTGTAAGTCTTTATTTGGGATGAAATTCATCATCGTTACATATCATGAGACCTTGTAGTACATTCCTCATCCTCAAAAGTTCTTGACAAATTCCTCAGCTTCTATGAGTCAGCGGTGCTTATAACCACGCGATTAAGCACAAATGCGCCAGACGAATCCAACATATTCGCCAAACATCTCGACAGTCATTACAAGATAAACCCGTTAACACTTCAGACCGTTTGTTAGTGCAACATTTATTGTTGAGCCATCCAGATCTGATTAGGGAAACATCGATATTTTAGATGCATAGTTAGTGTTATACGAAAAGTGTGGCATGCTTATCTGAAACTTGGATTTTCACTCTATATTTCCGAGCGCGAAGAGTTATACACTAATCCTGATGATATCTTGTCCTCAAATAAAGGTGTTGTTATGCATTCCTCATTACGCAAATTCTTCCTCGAAGCACATACAACTCTACTGTAATATTGAAATGCCAAGCATTCTGTAACGAAAGGAACTTCATCGATGTTATTAAACAAAAAGATTCTCCGTTCGAATGTGAGATTTCTAGGGTCTGCAAAAGTTACATATTACAATGAAAATGATCTTCCATAAGCCATGGAGATTGCGATACAGAATGTTACAAAATCTATGGTTGGAATCCTAGACATCAACGATATAACTATACACAACCTACATGTTGATCGAATACATTCCTAGGAATCAGATGAGTCTGATCAAATTTCTGTCGCGAGTTCACATACTGATGAGTACATTCTAGATATTACATAGTCTACTCAATGCACAACCAGAAGGACACGACAGACCTACGCAGATGTGCAGTTGACTACAGAAATCTGTACTACCACTTGGACTCATTTAGCTCTACCAACCTCAAACTGCACTATTTCGGGAATTCTTAGCAAATCAATACGAATAATCCTAACTTTCACAATCTGATATTAATGACTAACTTCAACATTGTCAACCAACAAGTCTTCATGTTTAGGTGTAATCTCACATTTTCAAGTTTACCCGTGAATACCATGCAGCAAAGAAAAAAACTGAGCAACCCATACTGTTATTCTATGTTGACCAAGCTATACATTCAATTTTTGACTTTCAGTGAAGCGTACACATGCTGGTAAACCTATTAATACATGAGATTTGGGATTCTATATTCTGGCAATTAAAAATACAGTTTTCGAGCCTCTCGCTTGTCAGACAAAAGTACTCTGAAAATTGAAGCTATAACCGATTTCCACTTTTTGCTTCCGAAACGTTTCTGTGACAAGTTGGATGGACTATGGAAAGAACGAAAACAGGCGAATGAATTAAAAATGACCAATTTCAACGAATCCATCTGAAGAAATTAATTTATTATGTACTAAACAATTCAACGTATTCACATAATATTTGTTTATTAATTTGCTATTTATCCATTACCTAAAAGCAGATTAGCAAGTCTAAGAAACAACTCTTGCTTTCAAGTAGTCTACACAAACTCTGAGATCCTAATGAAATGTAGTTTGGAAATACAAAAGGAAGAAAAAATCAAAGGCATTTCTGCAGAACACGGATCTCCAACTTGGTTTGGAGATATAATTGGTATTGCTGTCTATTTCTTCCAAGCCACATAAGATAAGAATATTATCAAAGAAAAATTATCACAGTCGTCCCATTCTTTTTATCGTATCGCAGTTAGTTATCAGTGCTATTGGGCCGACTTGTTGAAGAACTTTATATCGGTAATTGAGACGAAAGCAGTTTTAAAGAACTCAATACACGGAACTTGTTAGATCAATTGGATAATAATAGTGGTTCGTAATTACTTGGCGAGAAACAATATGAAGGTAATCCATAACCGACTACAAGTGTTAGCCGACTTACAAAATTCATAACAGAAATTATAATAAAATTATTATGCTGAGAATTATCAGTTCCAAAGATTCCTAGTCATCAATTTGTAAGCAACTTTAAAGACAGTTGGAGTAGGAATCGTCTGAATAATAATTACTCGATTCATAGTTTGCTGTACGAAAACGACAAGCTTAGTGAAAACAGATCAATTTACGAATACCATACTAGACAGAACTGTAGCACAATTCTCTGGAAAGTGGATGTGAAACCATTTTAATATTTTGATTTTGTGTTTGCATTTACTCCAAGTAACTATGAATCCACAAAACCCAAGAAATGTCTTTCCAAAATCTAATTTCAGGTGTAGTATTGGAGTATTAAGCGAGCTTATAACTTCAAAATGATAGTGAACAAGTCGACAATAAAAATCACCTAGTGAATGTTCTTACACTTGGAATTAGGCAAGGATTTCTTCGGTTTGCGAACCTAAAATGTTCACCACAGTATACACATCCTTAGTGAGAACTAAGCTTGAGAACTGCGTTCAGGCTGCAAGCCCCTGTTTAAAAGGTGACTCTGATATCCTAGAAAAAGTACAAAGGGCAGCTACCCGTGTAATTCCAGAACTCCGGGGTTTACCACACAAAGAGCGGCTTGAAAAACTGGAACTCTTTACTCTGTCCTATCGCAGGTTAAGGGGAGATCTAATTTTGATGTACAGAATACTGAGAAATGTTTTTGGACCTAACTTATTCTCTCTTTTTCTTCCCACTAGATCGGGACATCTCAGAGGACATAGCAGGCGAGTAGAAAAGGCAAGAATGAACAAAATACCCATGGCATACAGGTTTTCACACCGAGTCATCAATGCTTGGAACCTGCTGCCTGAAGCAGTGGTGTCCGCACCTTTAATTGACACTTTCAAGAGGAGACTGGACACTCACAGAAGCATACTAGAAAAGGAATAACATAGGCCGCAGGCCTTCTGTCCTTACTACACAAATCTGAATCAGAAGTAGCTTCAAAAGTAGAGATCTGGTTGTACAGATAGAATATATCATTTGTTGGTGACGACATGAGGACTAATTTGTCGCCCATTCCGGTTCATTATTTCATTACAGCATTGAGTAAGTTGTGACTAACTAACCCCGAGTGTTATTTGTTTGGATTGATTAGTTAATTTTCCGATGACGACGACATTTGGGATTGGGAAGAACATGAGCTATCCAAGTCTAAACTGTTAAGTCATGTTTACAACGGTGCTGTAGCTCAAAATAATTCCGCCTGTAACAACTGAGATTCGAACGGTAATGTATGAGATATCAGACAATTCATTGATGTAAAGACCACTACCATATAGTAATCTATAGTTCTCATGGAACTAACAACGGACTGAGACTTTGAACGTAAAACGTTAATGATTTTGTGAAATGTAGTGGATGAAACTTAATATAAACTTAAACGGAGCGAAAAATAAAACCTTTACTCGGTGAACATAAGACTAGACTATGAATGGTATTACTTTATCATGAAATACACTATACACAACTAACTTGAGTAGGTGATATTTCTGTGTATTGACGACACAAAGATATTTATTATTAAACGACCGGTTATGTTCTTTTGGAGAACAGAACGCACAAAGACAGGAAGAAAAGTGTAGGGACGGACCCCGTTGAACTCAAGGAAACTTTGAAAGAGCTGAAGATATTCCATCCAATTATTTTGTGAAAGAACATTACAGAATCTTGATGTGCAACTTCCCAATTGGACAAATTCTAAAAATCACTGCACAGGGATAGGATGACTGTAGTGATGAGTTTGTTTTTATTAAAAACTATTAATACCTGAATGTCTTGTATCATATTTGACACTATTTAGAATAAGATTCAGTTTCACTAGTCTTCTGAATTGCAACTTGGAGGGTTCAAGCGTCCGAGTTCTCAAGTTGTAGGCAGTATAACAAGCGAAATGTAAGTTCTAGATATAACAGGAAGAAATAAAAACGACTAAAAATTAAGCTCAAAAACATCTCTGATGTTGATTTTGACACAGCAAGTTGTGTATAAGAAGCTGTAATGGAATATAGCATAACTTTCCTTTAACGACATTCAGAAGATGTTACCATATATGTACAAACATTGGAATTGGCTTCACAGCGAAAATAAAATAAAGAAACAAAATGAAACAATATCAAATATATAACAGACAAGAATTGTGTGTGGCATAAATCTCATCTTCGAAATGCAGCAGTACCGGATTACAGCGTTTATAATCATTTTTTTAGAATTCATCCCAGTAGAAAAAAGTTAGAAATATACAGGAAAACATTCCTCCTTGAGTAAATTATCATACTAGCAGCTGAAACATCACGTTTAATTCACGTCCGCATTGACCAGCTTTATTCGCTACATCTTTAGTTCCTAACGCTGAACGTATTGTAAGTAAATGGGACAAGCATTCTTGACATTTTCGACGTCTAGAAAATTAGATGGAAGGTTACAACATTAAATAAGTGAAGTTACCAAGTTTAGTATCATGTGAACTGAAATTACAAATTTTTAATAAAAACTGCAACCTCTGTTTAATTATTTTCACAGCTGAAATTATAAATCTAAACCTTAGAAAACTAAATTAAACATTTGGAGTACAGTAGAACACATTCGCTTGATGTGCTCAATGAACAAAAACCTGAGTGAAACAAGTGTAGTGTTAATACTTAGTAAAACTGTTTGATTAGTGAGAAAATATACACAAGAAAATTATGGGTGATGATATAATGATTGGGATAGAATCAGTCGTCAATTGGTATACATTTTCACATGTATAAAGATATGAAAAGGAGATGAAATTTGAGGCAATAAATACTCTGTACTCAGAGCAATTAAATTTAAGAAACGAGAAATACTGAGAATGATTGATATACCGACTCATAAATTCCCAATAATGAAATTATTTTCTGAATACTCTTACTGAAGTAAGCACACGTTTATGTGGTCGATGTAAACGCGTACTGTCATATGAGAGCTACATGGCTACGCAAAGTGAAGTACGTGAATTGGAATTCGAATCTGCAACCTCTTAGTTAATAAATGAATGCCTTAAACGTTGAGTTTACCGCTTCATCATTACTTTTAAACATTTGGAAAAGAGTGGGAAAAATAAATGGTGATGAAACGATAATTTATGGACGACCTTTGAGCGGAGCCGAAGTGACCTTGAGAACGCCCACCCACTTGCTAGGGCTAGATGGTTGTTATAAAGCAGTGTGAAAAATAAGGATTGTGATTAACAATTACTGGTTGAGGTTAGGAATTAAATTTGCGGTTTTCATCACGAACTAACATCAGCTAGAATGCCAAAACACTATTTAGACAGATGGGTGAACGAATTTCGCACCGAACTTCGAGACATGTAATCCTAAATCTGATTGGTTCGTCCATAAACTGTAGTCTTGTCTAAGTGGTTGTTTTTCTTTCTAAATGATCGATTTCATGAGAATAGCATACAACAATATAACTGCGTTTATGCTGTATAGTTGTGTGGGTGAAACTAAACGAATCAAAACCTAAATATTGGGGAAAAAGTAGAAGTAAACAAACAGTCTGTAAGGAACTGAGTGGTTTTTTTAATCATGATTCCAAACCGTCCAGTCGTGTGTGAACCGACTTTTATGGCTTGAGATGAAATAGCTACAACATAAATATACATACAAATGAAATATGCTATGATTTCTAGATAATATATAACATAAGAATGTATAAGTTCTAAGCATGATTGCGTATAAATTCTTGTGAATCAATTATAAAACAGGTAATAAAACGCTATACACATTCTAATACATATGATATGAATTAGAATAACAGTTAAAACCCAAAAATGCGCAACCTTTCTTCTCGCATCAAGTCTACTCCAGGTGGAGTTGGGCCTTCGATAGTTTGGCGAATCACCGGGGCAAAATTTTTGATTATTACACGAACTATTTGACAAGTTGTTTCAACATGACTAAAACCCAAGATTAAGTAAAAATAAGGTTAAAATCATTCATGAAAATGTAAAGTGTAAACACTTAGACAAATGTTCGCAAACTCTATATCAGTGTTAGTTTAACTAAGTGGATATTTTAGAATAAACGGTAACAACATAGAATAGCAATAAGACAAGGCTTCGTTAAGCATTAAAAACTCAGATGTCATTTTATCTAATGGTCACATCATATAATTGATCAACAGACGGCTTTTATTATCCTCATTAAACATCTCTGAATAATAGTTGTGATTACTGATAAAAATATTATTTCAGTTATATCAGCCTACATTTAAAAACACTATGGTTTGACAAGGTGTATTCATAAATGCTTGAAGTACTCTTTTATTCGTTGACAAAAGTGGTGAACAAAGAACAAGTACATTGGGGTTATTTTGACAACAGATAACCATCTTATTTATTCGAAATGAAGCTAACCACCACTGAATTTGACTTGACTTAACCCAGGTAACTGAACATACATTCAATCAGTCAATTGGATGAAAGGGTGAATAGTCAAATATTAGATATATATTCGAATAAATACTTAATGTGTTTGTTCTGCTACAAATATTTAGAACTACATTAATTAACTGCACAATTATAGATAAAATGCTTTGACAATCATTAACCAACAATTAAAATGATAAACTACCAGCTGTTGGTCTACATCATGAAAGTTATTTAATGTGCAACTACAATAAACCATAAGTTTCCGGTATTATAATGAATAGATCAACAAATTATACGTGATTCAAAAAGTGAGTGGAAAATCATGTTTTTTTAAAAAAGAACAATTGAAATGTGATCAATATCACAATCACCAAAAGGAGCAGAAGTCCAATAAAACGGTATCATATCCAATAGTCATACTACCAAAATGTCCGTTGTAATTTATAATTCTTTGCAAACTGAAGTACAGACTAATAGAGTTTTATATTCTCGAACCACTTTCAACTAACATAGAGTTGCCTCACGTATTCAGTATATCGAAGGATTGAAAAATTTAAAACCAGTTTATTCACCAGGTACACTCCAGATATGAGGGATGATGATACTATCCAGTCGCCCAAACATAAGTATGTGAAGTGAGGTTCGAACGTGGGACTTAGCAGCTGAAAGCTTAACGCTTTAATTACTAAAGCACAGCAGATATGGTATGACTGACTAAGACGTGAATGAGATAGGCAAGTATTTCAAAAAGAGGAAACGTTTCCATGTTCAGAGGCATCATTAGAAAAATAAGACTTACATTTATAAATTTTTGTTGATTATTCTCAAACAACCAACACAATTATATCTGATAATTTGGATGTATAAATTAATGAACAGATTCTAAGTATATGCTTTAGTTTTCTTCTTGATTAGTAATGATGGAGAAAAGATTGTTACTTTTAATCAAATGTTAATTATCGTCTAGTTTACTCCAACTAGGGTGCGCGCAAAGAAGGTCGATTTAATAATACAATAAAATGACGTCACTAATATTATGTTAACGAATGAAATATAGCAAATCTACAGCGAGTTTACAAGGGTTGAACATTAATACAGGCAAGCGAATGACAAATAACCAACAAATTGTTTTGGAATGGTTTATTTGGGTATGGAGTAAAGTGACAGAAAATGTAAAGATGTAAAACTAAATAACGACCAGTTAATTGTAGTGCAGGTGTGCTTGTTCATAAAATGAATTGTCGGACTAGAGTTTGGAAAGATACAGAATGCATTTAAAGACTACAAACTACATCCCGAGTTATATAATGTTGATGCTTTATAGGGATGGAACTAAAATACTTAAAAATTAACAAGAAAACTGAATTTTTGACTGTGAATGGTTAGGTCTTCAGAAAAGAGAACATAGTTAGCAATAAATAGATTCCAAAACGTATAGAATATCGTAAGATAGAGTATAGGTAATACTATCACAAGAAATATGAAACTATTGCAAACCAACTAATGGAACAGAATATCACTCTACTTAGGGCTAATGTAGATGCAAAAAATTAATCGACAAGATAAATAATTGAACAGACTCAACAACAGAAGTGACAAATTAAATACTAGTTACGTCATCTCCGCGTTTGTTGTATACGGTATCGGATCAACTTCATTTGTCACTCAGATGGAGCAGACAACTCGGCGAGCACGACATGACCATCAAACTTTAGTATTAAATCCAAGTTCAATGGATCCACTAAATCCGTTATAAGAATGCATAACGATTGAGAAAAGAGAGGATTCACTTCTATATGAAAGTAAAACTCAGAATCGGAAACTGTCAGAGTGATATTCTCAGTCATATACCGATGGAATATTCATTAACTGTCACAGCTGATTATGAAGATTCAGCTTTATCAAAATTACGACGAGCATGTCCAAATGGAATATGAGGTTGTTTATGCCGTCCAGGCCAGATAATATGACGGAGGCAATGTCAATCATCAAGTCATAGTACAGATTAGAATTTTGCTTTGGAGATTCGGTGGTTGGTAGAATCAAAGTTGCATCAGTCTCAGATGTGGTAACTGGGTTTAGGAGTTTCGCTGGGGTTACCATTCTGCGTACAGAATGAAGGAGAAACCAAAGTATTCACAAATTTTCTTGAAGACATCTGGATCAAAGATCTACAATGTGCGAGGCCGTTTCAAATTTCGCTATATACTTTTACAAGGCGAACAATGAGGTAGAAGGGTAGCATACAGACTCTAGCCAATTTATTGGTCCCGGTAATCCGAATATAAGTAAATTCATTTATGTTCTAAAAAAGGGTGCATTTGAGTGAATTGGGGACCGAGCGGTTCGTTGCAGGAGTCTAATAACAGCATTTAAGGAAGTATAATGTGATAGAAGCACGCCCAAAAATGACCTTAGGAAATTAAGGAAACAAATTGGTACTTAACAATTTACACGAAATAGCCCACAAGTCTAATTTTTACATCTAGATATGTACGGAGAGACATAATAAAAATAAAGCCCGATGCAAATGTGCGCTGGCCCAATTTGCTACATCTGATCAGCACGAGGTGAATCGAAATAATGTAGTAGCAATGATAAAAAGCAAGATTAAATATTAGGAATATGATATGAAAAGACAGAATAGAAAGGTGTGCATGAAGAAAAAATGGGAGATTGAGAAACTAGAAGATAAAGGTGAACCCATTTGGGTCATTTGGATCAGAACCATGCTACCCAAATTCTACAACCTTTTAATAAATCGGACCTCAACCTAGTAGTTCGGTTCAACCCGCGTAGCTCAGTCCAACAGTCAATGTCTTCACAGACTGATGTCACATATTGAGTAGACCACCTCCGGTTTTTTTTTCAGTTTACCCTTATGCCAGCCATCATCCCGCGTCGAGGTAGGCTGTGGGTGAGCATACGTAATACATGTCCCCAACAACCTTAGTTGATAAACACTCACTATTTAGTTAATCAGTTTGCCATCCTTACCTAGTACGCTGTATCTAATCTGAGTATTGTAAATTCAACGACCTCAGCACATACGAGCGATAGTGCGAAGGCACCTGCAACCTACGTATACCTTCTACTTTCATAAACTATATTTCACAGACATGAAACAGAACAAATAGGACTGTCACAAAGCTCATACGCCTTGTGGTTGTCAGACGAACTTCTCTCTGACGTCCCAAGTTTGCAAATAGTGTCCTGAAAATTTAAAAATGTAAGTAACATTTACATCCGTACTACACTAATAAACTGCGCTTTTGATGCTAATTTTTTATTTATAATTAGTCAGATAATATACCAGTGTATTGTATTATTAAATTGCCCACTAGGTCCTTGTCGTCACTAATATGAGCCTCTTTTCATTCGCACTTTTGAGTACATCTTTATGGAGGATACCTGGACAAGTATATCTATGTATTAATGTACAAACATCATATGTAACTTACGTGGTATATTTACTGTGAATCAACTCTACTAATTGAGGTAATAGAAAGCTGACTAGATCCAAATTCCAATATTTGCTGGCACAAAAAGGAAAAAATAAAATAGTTGGCCGGAATAAAACTCCAATATTTTAAGAAGTATATTAAGATAAAAACATTATGATAAAAATCATATTAAATAAGTGATAAAAGGTAGCATATGATTCAGTATATATAATTTGAATTATTAAAGGTAGGTATATATGTAGTGAACAAAAACTTGGTAGGGATAACTGACTTATTATTTAATGCAAAATTAAAGTGTCCTCATAAAATATGAAAACTATACATTATTTGCACATCTTCCCTCAGTTGTCCTTTACATGCTTCGTGATTCTTTCAATTCTGTTGTTATTCCAATTGTTGTCAGTTTCTCCTCCTGTTCTCATCAATCCAATCTTCTTTTGTCAGGTATTTCACTTCTGATGTTACATACTACTTATACCTGTCAGCATACACCACACACACAGGAATTTAATATCTAAATAATTTTTGAACGGCTCCGAGGAAAGCCCATTCGTATGAATTTTTTAATGCAAGAAGTCAGCATGAAATGCTTAGATTTATTATTTCACTTATTAATCAATAACTAAATAAAAGTGGTTTTCTATCATAATCGACTTAGGACTGGTGGATGACAGAAGGGAGGATAGAGACCTTAAACGCTACAGTCTAATCTTCGTTAAGTGGTTATTACCATCGCCTAAATGTAGCTACTATGAACAGAGGTCTTAAATTAGCTCACCAAAAAGTCGGGGAATCAATGGAGTGGGAGTGTGGATTGATAGGTTTAATCCAGTTGGTTCGAGGTGTCCATTATGCAACTCTCTTGTAAGATTTCCTCTGACTGCTGAAGAGTGAATTGGTTTGTTCATGTTTACGTTCGGTTGGGTGGTTGGATTACTATTGTTTGATGTTTGGAAGCCTCAAGTGCAGATCAACGCTGTACACATCATTGGAAAGTAAGAGTCAACAGTTAGCACCGCTAAATGTAGACGTAGTTGAAGTTCTAGCCTAGTAGTGATACGCGTAAATTGAGTGCTTTCGGAAGTACACGCACGAAACCAACAGTTTTAAAGTAAATCTTGGGAACATTCCGGCTTCAAGAAACAGATACTAATGGGATGCATGTACTTTTACCTAAGTGATATATTCATGTGTTAATCGTTGAAGAACAACACAAGAAAAAATGACTACATTCTAACTAAATCTTTGAAAAACAACAACCATAAATGTAAAGCTTAAAACAGCTGAAATAAACATAATTAAATTATGTACAAATTAAAGTAAGCCAACAGAAAACATAATTAAAAGGAGATGGAATAACATTTACACAACAAATAACAAACACATAAGAGAGGACAAGTGACACTGTAACAGACAAAATATACGAAAATGATGTAGTATTTAGTAAATACCTTGACGGGCCAAAATAAATCCAGGTGTTTACCTCAAATCCATTCTCCTGGTGATAGGAGGAATATATCTAACTACTTATGAACTAACAATGAAAAGTTAAGTCACCAAACTAGTGATGTATGGTTTTAAGAGGTTGAAATAGTACGTCATCAAATCAGCATATATAAACTTCTAAGCAATCAAATGCAAATCAGAATAACTACGTAATTAGGGCAGAAAAATAGGAAAACATAATGTGATAAAGAATAGGTTACTAAAGACTTAGTTTATCAAGAATCTGGAATTTGTTTGAGGTCAAGAATTTTTAACAATTCGTTACTTTTAACTTGATTAAAATTACCAGCAACTTTATATTTATGTGATTTTATTTTATAATGAATTTCACACAGCTTCTAGTTGAATTCCAGCCCTTCACTCATATAAATAGCTGTTACGATAGTGTAAAATATCCCAACCGTTTACGTTGTTAACAATGAAACATTTCATCAAATGCTTCGTATCATACACAACGAATAGTGACAGTGTTTGGTCAACTTCATAGCATCGAAAATGAACTTTAGAAACAAGTAAGCTCCGACAGTACAACAAGAGTATTTAAACCAATTGTTAGAAAAAGATTCAACGAACAATAATACAATACAATATTAACACAATGTAAGCTATGATGTATCTAAGATACAGGTCAGCTAAAATTGATTCCATAAAAAACTGTATGACTAACCCGTCACACTCCTAATCAGAAACATGAGAGTGTGTGTGTGTGTAGAGTGAAAATTAAAAGGAAAGTCTGTTCACAAAGAAATACGGACGTCTTGTGTAACAGAGTTATATGTTAAGCAAGATCCAGAGTAGTAAAATTTGATCATTACCCACAAGTTTGTATAGCTTAAATATAAATATCAACATGTAATGAAAATAACTACTGATTCTGTTATTATCTTATCTAATAAGAAAGTGAATAAGTAAACAAATATCATTGCTGAATTACAAAATTAACTGGAAATTATTCTTGACAATTACAGGGACTAGCGAATGGGATCAGATCACTCAAAGCACTGAAAAATCGTTCTAATTGCTTGCACTAGACTCCAACATATTATAACAACTTCAGTTCATAAAGTCAAACAAGAACAGACATTTTGAAATTACTAACGTAACTAGTAAGAATTAAGTTTATCAACACTAATAAAACAACTATTCCGTGTATATAACTAAGATAATTAGTGAAACCAGTTATTCGATACAGACTGTTCTCAAATAGTTTGCCATTTGGTGGTTATAATTGGATAATTTAATTTGATACTATACCATAACTGTTGTAAGAATAGTATGCTATGCTAGAAATTTCTTTGTAGTGATAATTGGGATGGAATGAGTACAATTAGTGATGAATTTGTGAATTGTTCCATCAACGCAAAATAATAGGACTGATTAACAAAATTTACATGACCACATAATTATTAGTAGACAGGAACAGTCTTTACCAATACACATCCGAAAAAATTAATTGACGACTGAAATCAGTATGCCTGCTGGTTGTCATCATTACAAATTCCTTTGATAGTTCCTCAACACATGACTAGTAATCAGGTATCCAACATCCTGTTAATATAACTGAACAAAGATCAATATTTATGTAAATAATTTGGTTACTAACTCTTAAAAAGAAAATAACGATTAAATTAGCCTGAATTAGATTTACACAATGGATTTAGGGATAATACTTGACCAATTATTCGTAGCTTTCATCAGAAAAGATCATCATTGGAAATTCACTTTTACTTTTTTTTACATCTAAAAGTCACCGCTTAGTGAAAAAAATTGCTATCGTAGGGGGCTTTTGTTGTTAATTGTAGTTGACCACTGAAACAACAAATAAAGTGGTGGTCGCTTGATGATTGTAGTTGAGTGGTAACTTATCATGAAATTGACATCAAAATACCAACTGACAGTCCTCAAAACTGAACAACAATAAAAAATACCGAATAAATGAACATTCAATCACAATCGCATTATATGCATTCAATTAAGCAGAAAGAAACATTTGCCTATACATAGAAGCAGCAGGCAAAGTAATTACGACTATGAAAAAAATGTCTAGTAATTCTAAAATGATATTTCATGGCTAACGAATCCAGAATCTTATGGGGAGCATTAGGTACTTCTTGGCGATGAGTACCAGCTGGAAAGAAATCTAGGGTTCAAAGTCTCATCCAGACATCTAATAACAAAATATGCTGCTAGCAATATCGGGGTACTTTGTCTAATGGCCATATTGCAATCTGATTGATAAAACTCGTCCAGCACTAAGAACTAGACAAACATGGTATAGGTCACTACTCAGTAACCAATCATTGTGCATTTAGAACTCTAAATACCACCTAGATTTCTATCTGCTATGCTGACAGTATTCTTAAGGTTGAACATTGCCCTTTGTCCTAACAATAAACAGTTTAGTGATGTTTTAGTAGTCAATGTAATCTCATAAGTACCTGAGAAGTTAACAGTAAACTGAATAAATAGAGATAAACAAGAAATCAGGGATCAGATAAAATTTGTCATGAATGGACCAAGTATAATAGGCATAGATTATGCAAATATTTTCTACACAAAAATATGAACGTTGAAAGATAAACGAACAAGTTAATTACAAAATAAATAAATATTGATCTTTGTACTAAAAACGATTAGTATATACGAATGAATTTTTTTCATTAGATACACCCTCAAACGAACTTTCGAAACGAGAACTTACCTTAATCTTTTTGCTTCTAATATGAACCCCGTTGAGCAACTGAGAGGTGAAAAACCCCCTAACGAACCGATCGTTTAACAGAAAGTTTCTTAAATTGGTAGCATATATTCTCACAACAAATTTTGAAAAACATCATACTTCAAAAATCATTTTGAAAATAAATATTTACCACTAGTCCATAAAACGTTAACTCTATGACACTAATTGACTAACAGAGAGTTAGTTGACAATTCCGTGTTTATCTTCAATAAATGGGTCACTTTAGGAATTCATCATTTCGACCCATCAAAAGCAAATCGAAAAATCAAGCAGACGGATTTACTTTCTTTTGAATAGTGAATTTTAGGTCTGGATGATACACAATGAAAGAATGTAGAATGTCAAGTAGATAATTGTTCTCACTACTTACTGAAACAACTTACCATCACTTTAGCTAATTACGAATATTACCAGAGAGGGGGTTTTGTGGAGATTGTAGTAATTTTATAGTTGAATTCATGAATCGATTAAAGCTAAACCACCATGGAAAACCTGGAAGCACTGGACGAGCGTCTCATCCTAGTACGGGACTCCCCAGCAGTGTGCATTCACGATTGGTTGGAGTTAGACTTTAATACCGTTGGATGCCAGTTCAGTGGTCTAGAGGTTGAGCATTCGCGTGTGAGACCGAAGGTCCTGGGTTCGAATCCCGTGTGGGATCATGGACGTGCGCTGTTGAGCAGTCCCACACTAGGACGAAATGATAGTCCAGTGCTTCCAGGTTTCCATAGTGGTCTAGCTTTAATCGATTCACGAATTCAATTATTAATTCTGAATAGACGAGCGATTATGGTGCCGTCGCTACATCATAAACTAATGTCATCATAGGAAAAACTAAAAGTATGATAAGATGAACATAAGAGCTAAAACACTTACCTGTTTTTTGACAATATTCCAAGAACATCGACTAAAATTGCAGTATCATTCATCATTAATGCAGACTCAACAGCTGTTTTCACACTATCTGGACTCCACATCACACGAACAGTTGACAAGCCTTTAACACGTGATGACATGACTTTCACGAAAGGATCGTGAGGTTTACGAATTCTCAATAACAATTCTGCTTCTGATGGTTCATGAAGGCTTCCAGATTTATCATGTGTCGGGTTTTTTATATTTTGAAGGACTGGATTCAATGCAAATTCCATCATAGTCGGCAGTGATTGCTAAAAGTTTAACAAGACAGGCGAAGTCAGAATGGCCGTGAATAGTAATGGTACTAAATTCACGTATTTATACATTCACTGTCCTATCCTGCATAAAATAATGAATTAACGCTCGTACTTCCCACCTTTACACCAATGAGACACTATACTGTTTAGAACGAATAGTGAACGAGTGATATGTGTATACGATTCACTCGCTCTATATTAGGTACTCAGCCAGCACTATTCCAATCAGCATCAAGACAACTCACACCAAAAATGCGTGCTTTGCCTGACTAATAGGTTTATTAGTTAACAATCAGACCGACAATCAAATAAGTACAAAGGGCAGAGAAATATATATATGTATATGTGACACACCAAGTGCCTATCAGTCTATCCACTAGTATGTCTAGTGCTTCCAGGTTTTCCATGGTGGTCTAGCTTCAATTGACTCATAATCTCAATTGTTTAAAATTACTACAATCTCCACAAAACCCCTTCTGATACTAATCAACATATGCTCACTAGTGACTGGCTTCAAGATATATATCCTGGAGTTCTAGTGAGAAGCAGTGACCAGTGGAGTTCAACCGGGTCAGTTGTGAGGTAGTAACTCACTGATGACAATGGTGGATGTGTCGCTTAATTTCGTGGATTAGTTGAAGTCAGACATTAACACCATTGGATGCCGTCTCAGTGGTCTAGTTGGTTAAGTGCCTGGGGCGAGACTGATAAGTCCTTCGTTAGAATACCGCGAGGCGGGGTCGTGGATGCGCACTGCCGAGGAGTCCCACAACAGGACGAAACGGCCGTCCAGTGCTTCCAGGTTTTCCATGGTAGTCTAGCTTCAATTGACTCATGATCTCAACTGTTTAAAATCACTACAATCTCCACAAAACCCCTTCTGATACAAATAACTATTTTCTCACGCCAAAACAACAAATAGGTACTTGTGAATTCCAAGCAAGCAAAACACTGAACTAGTTATTTTCATAGCAGGTTTTTGATATGATAATAATGACTAAATGCTCGGCCCTCTAATATGAGGTTTAAAAGGAGGTACAATATAAATCATCATTTGTACAAACTAGGAAAAATACGATGGATTCAAGGTATAGGAACTATGACCTTGAATAAAATTTTGCGTCTCTTAGCCTATATGTCAAACAGTGATTACAAAATCCAGCATGTCTACGAGAAAAAGTTTAAAGTTCTCAAAGGACAAGTACCCAATCTTAAAGACTTAGCAAAACAACTGATGACCACCAAATAATTCAGTAACAACGCCATATTTATACATCGATATCATTTTCATATTTTAACAGGAGAAAACTTACAATGTAAGGATTGTTTTCAATATTTTGTGTCTTAGAGAATCACAACTTACAGGTAGAAAATCTTCCACTTCAATCGCTTCCGGTGGGTGTGGAGAATTTGAAATTATTCGGGCTTAAACAAAGATTGAAAACAAAAATTTTTTATTTCACTCAGATACCCTAAATTTAGTCACTTGATTCAACTAAACTTTCTAATTCAGAAGTAAACTGGAACTATATCTTAATACATAAATTGGTAAATTAACAAATCATACGAAGAAGTGATTATTGGATTTATCGTCAAAAGGTATATTAATTCAGTATTATGTTACACTGCGTAGAATCAGAGTTCACCAAACACATTATCTGTAAGTTGGAAATTGTAGGGTAGGTCTATCTGGGTGCAACTGGCTGGTTTTATTTTCACAGGAAAAAAACTCGAAATATTTGATAAGACTGATCAATGGCATATTGAGAGGCGTGCAGGAGAAGTACTTGAGATATGAATAAATCTGATAGCAATAAGTACCAGAGGATATAAGAACAGCACAATTTTTTCTGGGAAGTCATTTAATTCTCGAAGGCAATAAAACAGTTTTTCAACTCTAGTATGATTATTGACTACGCATTAATAATTACAAACCATCTCTCTTAACTGAAACTTTTTTTGTCAGGAAGATTTTATTAACAACTTATCGAATATAAGAAAAGAAGCTTGTCGGAAGATTATAAAAAAAGTATTTTCTGCCTACCAAATAAATATTTGTGGGAAAACAGGATAAGAAATGTTGAAATAAATAAAACATACCAGCTTGTGAGATAGTAGTTTGATGAGGTCTTCTGGAAATGCAAGCTGAAGTGGTACTCGGAGGTGTAAATGGTTTATCCGAAGTGAATCTGTTTGATAAGATATTTGACTGGACGCATTTTGCTTCATGGGGTGTGGGATTCACAATGTTTGGTGATGAAGGAGGGAGACCGAAATTTAGCTTTGTGATTGCGTCAGTTCCATATTCACTTGAAACGTTTCTTCTAGAAGTCATAGCTCTTACTTGAGAAGGACTTCGTGGAACTGTGTGGTGTGGTTTAAATATCCTATCATATTCATCTGGATCAGTTATATCAGCTGCATTGAGCGATTCACTATCCTCAGTTGTAGGTTGATAAGGTAAATGTGCATCAGGATCGTTAGGATCCTCCTGAAAAATAAAATATACGGTTGAAGAGGAAATCTGTGTGTTAATATAGGTTACAGAAAAAATCAAAACCAGTTAGTGAAACAATTCACCTTGTCTAAAAACGGACAAACAACTAACAGAACAATCAAATGATTTTTTTTCAAGATTACATATACTTTACGTAGGGGTAAATGCATAACTATGCCATCCATTAGGGATAATGTGTGTAATTAGCCCACTTCTAGGTTAAAATTCAATATTACTGCTAGTTAATAGTGTCACATTTAACTAACAATTAGACGGTCAAATGATTGAGATATATGTGCTTAGCAGGGAGAAAAATACTCAACATACAGAATGAATTCGTTGCAAAAGTTGTTAGGGAGATCCAGAAAACCTCTCAAAAATGCTAACAAAGGCTCTGAAAACACTGAGAAGCATTTGGTTCGATCAGCGCTCACTAAAAATTTTGCCGGAAATATCTAGAAAGTGAAAAGTCACATGTCAACTTTCTGATTGGATGTTTAGTAGCGTTCCAGAATTTCCCTGAAACCCAAGACCATCAAAAATACTATGAAAACCCTGGATTTTCTGCACACAAACGAACCTTTGGAGTAAAGTGCTTCTTCCATATTTCGCACTTTTTCTCTCATATTCAAGTTGCTGTGGAGATCTAGCCTGGGGATTACTAAAGAGCTTAGGAACCGAAGCTAGCGTTCAATTAGAAAACTTATCAGTGACGAGGGGAAAATTACAATGAATATTTCTTTGGAGCAACTGAAAGCACATATGGAGAATCAAGAGAAGCAGTTTGAACAGTCTCAAAACAGAATAATAGAGGCCCTCATGCAGGAAATATGTCTATCCTAGCAAAACCCTGCTTCTAATGAATTACAGGTACCCCATACTGATTAAGTCATTAATGCAATCCTTGAATTTAATTTTGATGGTGTAGGAGGTGTTACTTTTGACTCTTGGTTTAAAAAATATGAAGATCTGCTCCGTATTGATCTCTGCAGACTGGATGACGTCTCGAAAGTCAGAATACTTATAAGAAAACTTGGGACGATGGAACATGAACGGTATAGTGATTTTATTCTTCCAAAGAACCCACGAGATTTTAATTTTGATAAAACAATTAAAACCCTGTCTCAAATCTTTGGAGAACAGCCATCTCTATTTAATATCCATTACCAATGCTTGAAAATAACGAAAGAACCAGGAGATGACTGGGTGAAACATGCAGGAATTGTTAACCAAGAATGTGAGGGGTTCAAGTTGTCTTCCATGAGAGAAGACCAGTTTAAATGCCTAGTATTTGTCTGTAGCCTGCGCTCAGCCGACGATGCTGACATCCGAACAAGAGTTTTAATCAAGCTCGAACATTGCCCCAACATGATCCTAGAAGAAGTAACTAGCGAATGCCGAAAGTTAGTGGATTTGAAGCACGACACCTCGATGGTAGAAAACAGAACCCGGTTCCTTTACGTCAATGCAGTAGAGAGAAAAGTCTTAAAAGGTTCTAGCACACACAATTATCGTAATGACAGCAACAAACCATCATCCCCATGCTGGTTATGTGGCGGTTGGTATTTAGAAAGGTTTTGCCCGTTTAAAAATCATCGTTGTACTACGTGTTCCATAAAAGGACACAAAGAAAGCCATTGCAAAACCCGGAAACATCGTCAACCGAAAGTGTATTCTAAAAGATTCAAGCCGCGAACAGCGAAAGTAACGGTAGCTCTTAACAGAACTAGCTCCCATAACCGCAGAAAGTATGTTTCTCTCAAGATTAATGGGTATTATGGATACTATGTTACTAGATGTTACAGGTGCTGCAGCCTATCTGGATGATATAATAATTATGAGAATAGATATGATAGGGGAGACAAAATCCGACTCACACGTTCGCGTCGTGCCTCCTGGATAGTGGGACGAATGACTCATGAACTAACGTGAGCGGTAACCCGGGTGGTGGAGATCGGGCTAATCACCCACTCTTACCGATATCCTCAATCTGATTACGAAATCCACGGAGAAACACAGCACAATTACATTTGGATTGGAAAACGACAAAAAGTTTACAAAAGTGATGCATGTTGCTCGTTCAACAGCAAAATCTAACGGATTGCAAAAACAGCTATTCTAGCCCCGGTAGTTGTTCCGTGCTTTGACGTGGCCTGTTTCTCTCCAGAAGGGCCTACTAGGCTTCATCAACTTGTTTGGTTGGGAAGGGGGATATGATAGATTTAGGAAAGAAGCTCGACCAAGTGCTGTCGCGTATAGCCGAATATTAACTTCGGCTCCGTGCAGAGAAATGAAACTTTTGTATGCAAAGATACGCTACTTAGGGTTTATAATCGACAAAGATGGCAGAAGACCAGATCCAGAGAATGCCCAGGTAGTAGAAACTATGCCTAGACCGACGGATGTCCTCACACTACGATCCCTTTTTGGGACTAGTCAGTCATTATGGAGCTTCTATTCCTAACCTTCATCACCTACGTGTCCCGTTAAATAACATTCTGGCGAAAAGTGTAAAATGGGATTGGTCCGCAAATTGTCAAGCTGCTTTTGAGGAAATTAAAAAAAATATTAGTCTTGGATCTGTTTCTCACCCATTGAGATCCATCCTTACCCATTGTAGTAGCATCAGGCGCTTCAAACTACGACATTGGAGCAATTACTTCTCACATCATGCCAGATGGGTCTGATAAAGTTATATCAAATGCGGTTAGATCGGTAACTGCAGCGGAACGTGACTACAGTCAGGTCGAGAAGGAAGGGTTGTCGATCATCTTCGCCGTAAAGAAGTTTCATGAGATGATATTTGGACGCCAGTTCACTCTATTAACTGACCATAAATCATTGCTAGCCATTTTTGGGTCGAAGAAAGGAATTCCGGTATACACAGTAAACAGACTGAAACGGTGGGGAACTACACTCTTAGGTTATGACTTCAAGATTAATTACCAGCCCACTTTGGAGTTAGATGGAAGATTTATATTTATAGCGTAGTCATACGTTCATCCGAATTGGAGTAAGATACGCTGGCCACACAAAAAAGAACATATGATCTGCAGCTAAGTTAGCTAAGAAACATAAACCTCTGTCCAACAGAAAATGATATGTATATTCCATGTAATGAGAAAATATGATAGTTGAGTTTTAGAATATAAATTGTACAATAAAAAATCCAGTGTATAAAATCCCGAAAAGGGATAAAAGAAATATAGGAACTCACACTCATAACATTTTGAAGATTTTCTTCAGCGACAAGGCAGAAACTTTTACGTCCTATAGAACTTAGAGCTTTTGAGGGAGATGAACCACAACGAGTAAATGGACGTTCATTACTCTGTTGGACAGAAAAGGCATTAAGCACAATTTTATGGACATTGTAACGAGTGTACAAATACTCTTCTGAATTAAATACAAAACTAAACTAAATCCCATAATGAACTTGCCCATATATTTATAACAATTAAACATCTTACTAGTATTACATTTGTGACTAGCTTCTTTGGCTGACTGATCAACTGGATAAGGAATCTAAAAGAGTTTATTTTGCGACATAAATTCGGATAAAATTGTGATAATTATCCTAGCTTTGTCAGCGCAATTTCCATAACATAAATTGTTAGAATGGCATACAACAATAATTTGAAATAGTCGTATTTGTTCAAAGGTAAAGGGATCTCATGCAACTATTTCTCTTAAAAAAATCGAACATTAGAAGAACGACGTGGATAACAGAAGAAAATAAATTCACTCCATCTCATGCCTTTATATCAGCTGCATACCCCTTCTTATGATTTTTGGTTCCGTTCTGGACATTCACTGAAACATTACTGACTATAGCAAGTTAAATCTCGGTTTATAATTATATTACTCCATGTAATTTCGGGCTGTATGCAGCTGGTATGAAGGCATGAAATGAAGTGAATTTATTTTGTTCTGCGATCCACGTTATTCTTCTACTGTTCAAATAAAGGTATCTGATATAAAAGTACAACCGCTATATTTTACTTCGCATTACTTAAATGATCGACTCAATGTGATGAAATTCTAACGCTTAGTTTAGGTGAACGTCAAACGACCAAAATATGCGCCATTATACATGTACAAAGCCCTAGAAATCACACTACGATTTACAGTTCCTTCATCTTTAGTGACATTAGTTGTTAACTTCATGACGCGCACGGTAAACCGCTGATTGGTTAGTGATCCCAGATAGACAGGTTAGTTTCTGTGCATATTTTGAAAAGTACATGGTTTAAAATGGGTCAAATGGAGACTGTTTCCCGCATCATATAATGCCGAAAGTCCAGTTCTTTTAGGGGAGGCTCAAATAAGGTAAATAGTGAGAGATTTGGATAATCTAAGAGAACTAACGCAGAATCGATCACAATAACGCACATATATTTAGCCTTGATCTTAATCTTGAACATTTCATTAGTACTAATATACTATGACTTTCATATATATACCTTTCTTGCTTATTTCTTATTTGTATTTCGTTTTGATTTTTGTCAACTGATTATTGCTGTCGTGGAGTATGGTGAGTTCAACCGATGCTCTTTTGAGTATAACTTTATGCTGTTACCTATCACCAAAAATCTCCAATCGATTGATTTGCTTTTTCATCAGAAATACATTTGTGAAATTGAATAAACCTATTTTACGTACTGACAACGGTGTATTGTTTATGGATTATTTCAAAATGGCAACATAAATACATAAGTGTTACAAATATTTTTTTAAAGAAGTAGATTTTGATCACCAAGATAGGTTAACTAGTCTAAGTACAATTGTAGGATATATGATAAATCAGAGTGAAGTTAATACCGAAATCAATGAAATAGCAAAACTACACAAGGACTACAACTACAATTACAAACATATGAGACTACCCAACATATAAATATACATATATATATCAAGAAAAGTTTATCGTTTAATGAATTGGACTACTATGTGAAAAAACAAACGAGCAAAAACGGTAATTCGATAACTGTTTATGTATAGATTGTGTGAGAATTGTGGCACTACTAGGTTATTTAAACTTTGGTAAATTAAGCAACTTTACAAACCTATAACCCACTGGTTGAAAGTTCAGTATCTAAATCAATAAGCTGCAAATTTGTCAAGCACAATCTAATGAATAGGATGTGTACATAAGTTTGATTAGAAACGATCAAGTCTTTCACTAGATAATAAATATAACAAATTCAGTAAAATTGGATTTTAAAATGGATTTACTGGATATTTGAAAAACCAACGACTTGGATTGAAGCTGACTGATACCTTATCGCTGAACAGCTATAGCCTCATTAAAGTGAATACTGCATCAATACATTTCCAGTGTTCTTCCAGTTTAAGAGATATATTCGATTAGTGGTTGAAATTTTACGCGCTAAGTCTACGTATTACTCCTGAATGTAATTGTAATAATCTATTTTTTTCATATCAACAGTTTTTCGAAATAATGAAATTTGGGAAAACGTGGATAGAGAGAATACAAAAGAGCTTGAGAAGGGAAAGATAAGCATTTTGTTATACAGTCATCGACAGATGCAAAACAGAATGTTTTTAAAAATTTTTAACTTGGGTTTTCACTAACAATCTATATCTCCTGCTGTATAGCAATTGAAAATTCTCAATAAATATGGAACTATTGTTTAATTGTACAATAATCCGTATTTGAGATTCCTGTTGAGATTGAATCAAGAACTCTTAATCTTCACTACTAATAACTTCACCCAATGATGTAAAAAACATAAGCTTGAAAAAAATCTAGTCGAGAGTAGGTGAGAAACGTGCAAACGACACGTGACATATTTTTCGCAATAATGAGTAGGGTGATCACAACCCTTGAGATTACGATCAGTTGATTCTTTCAATATACAGCGCTTAAAGAAGCTGAGTAGAACTACTAGATTTCATGAAGTGACGCTTATAGTTCATCAGATAAATTTGTAGATGAATATTAGATATATGAACTATCTTACTTTTTAATGAAATAGAAGCATAGTAGAACGTCAAATAACTTACTTGCATATAATTGGCAAGATTACTATTACCACATATCTGTTGTACAGGATGGATAGTAGGAATACTATTACTATTGTCATTATCCCTGTAATTGGTTGATGTATTCACACTGGTGGTATTCAACTGAGTTGATTGTACACAAACGTTTTTATTTGACTCGGCAATATTATCTGAATAATTTGCAGTGAATGGTATGCAAGACTTCACATCCACAACATAAGTAGTAATTAGCGAATTTGAGATACATACACCAACAAGTTGATTGAAACTTGGAGCAACAGCCATATCGTCCAAACCGCCACCAGCACGCCAACCAACGTGTACAGTTTCTAGGCAAGACATATTCTCGTAATCATATATCTATGATAAATAAATAGTTATTCATTATGATATAAGAACAGAAAGAGATTATACTAACTTATAAAACAGTAGTGTGGAAAATTAACATGTAACAACTACTAAATATATACACACAGTTAGATGCCGACTCAGTGGTCTAGAGATTAGATATTCGTGCGCGAGACCGAAGGTCCTGGTTTAGAGTCCCGAGTGTGTTATTGTGAATATGCACTCCTAAGGAGTCCCATAATAGGACGAAACGGCCGTCCATTGCTTCTAGGCTTTAAATAGTGGCTTAATTTAGACTGGTTTATAAACTCGATGAAATCCAAGTCTCCATAACCCTATGCTGAAAAGATAAACATATGTCTTACTTCTCTGTATCGAAGTGTATATGAGTGGTTGCAATAAATCTGATTTTTTCTCAACACCTTCCATAAAGAAATGCATGCGAAATGTTTTGGCAACTTTTTTGTACACTAGTACAAATGAATATGAATAGCCAGATAACTGATTATACAAGGACAGGTCAGATAATACAATGTTATAAGACGAAAAGATAGGATTGGGACAATTCAGAGCTTGGGAATAATCATTTCTTTATAATTAAAGAATAATCTGTAGAACATACACAAGCTACTTTGAGTACTGGAAATAACCATAAATTTGACTACGACAAATAATTCAAGAAGAATATATAAGAAAAAATTTCTTTTAATTATTTTATCTGTATTGTTGATGGTAGCTATCTTCTGGTTAAGTCTGAATTTTCAGACAGCACAGTGCATTCGGTGAACATGAATGGCGAACGATAACCAAAGTGATTTCAAAGCAAGAAAATTTAATTCATTATTGTTATAATCTCTTTCTTACGGTTATGACCCAGCTATTCCTATTGCTTAGTATTCTTGGACACCAAATCACTCGACAAGACCCCAAATCAGAACACGGTTGAACAGGAAAGAGATTATATTCCAAATAACAAGGTTAGATGGATGCAAGTAAGAAGCAAGTCAGCAGTACAATAGAGAAAACGTTAGTATATTTATAGTCTTTACATGAGAAGATTCTAGAGTATTCTCCAACCATCGACTAGTGCTGATCGGATAAGAATTAGCCAATCAGCGTGCACCGAAGCAATCGTGCATTGAGCATGCTTTAATCCAGTCTATGTCCAGCTAACAATTATACACAAATTTATGAAAAGAACTATATCGGTTCACCGTGGTACACTATTTGATTTACAGTATGTCTAACTCAATGAGAATCGACAAGCACCGTAAACCAAAACATGACATTGGTCAATTCATAGCAATAAATACATGTAAGGACTCATTATTAAAAGTGACTAATCATTATCCTAAAATTTTGGCAGTGACTTATTCAAATATTGTTAAGAGACACCATTTCAAATACAAAGTTTCAATTTTATGTGTTGAAAATACAACTCTGTTACGGGACTTAACAAGCTCGAAGAGTTAATGTTGACTAGCCTATATAACTAACGGTATACAGGCTTATATATATATATATATATATATATATATATATATGCCTAGACACAAACTCACTCTGAGATAATCATTTGTAGCCACATACAAACACACACCATCCGGATGAAATGCAATACGCCTCACATTAGTGGCGTTTAATTCTGGTCCAGTGACGGCAACTTGTGTGAAATTTTCCAAGTCATACAAACGGACAGTATGATCAGCTGAGGCAGTTGCAAGCAGAAGAACTGTAGGATGAAATGTAACTGCAACAACAGGTCCAGTATGGCCGACTAATTCAGCCAACTGTCGACCAGCTGATAAATCCCAAAGCTATTGGTTGAAATAAAAATTAGGACAAAGTGGGGATTTTTTATATTTGAAGTAAGAACCAACGAAATTTCGAAACAGTAATAAGAAATAGCACAGTGATAAACAGACATAATTCACCACTTTATCGTTATAACGCCAATTTTAGCAAATTCTTGTAAAAAAAAGAATTACACTAGCGTTAAAACGACACGTTTCGTATATATATACGGTGTTGAAAGAACAAATTTAATGTAGTAGTAGTAAGGGTTACAGTCGCATCGTCAACATACGGATTACTAGATCGAGTAGTACAAGATAAATAACATGTTTTTACACCACTTATTTCTCATCAGAAGCATTTAGTATAACAATCTAAGATGTAATTACTTATGAGTAAAACTTCTCAATAGTGCAACTTATCTTTAGTACGCAAAAGCAAGCTTCATTTCAATTGTATAGGAGATATGTGGATGATACTTTCATTATTTGTGAAAATATGGATTCCAGTGAAATTTTGGATTGATTCAATAATTGTCATCACTCAAGTCAATTCACATTGGAAGCAAAGTAGAACGAGGAATCGAATTTTCTTGATGTCTGGTTGAAAATAAGGTCAGATGGTTCCTTACAGAGATTTATATATAAAATCCGACCTGGAATGGTCAGTATACGAATTTCCATACCTGAGTCACATTGAGTAGAAAGACAGAAGATTCACTCTTTATCCCCTAGGACAAGGTGGATATGTTCTAGTAACACGCTAGATTAAGAGCTACCTTAACTTCGACAGATATTCATCAGAAATAGTTACCCACCTAGATTTGTTTATAGGAACTTAACAACAAGACAGAATCCTGAAAATGCAACAACGGTCCAAATGAAAACTCTTTTTATGAATATCGGACTTAAAAGAGATACGACTGCTGAAATCATGAATAAATGGATTTTAAAATCACCAAACTGCATCACGAGGCAAACGCTAACTTGGAATCCTGATGGGAAAAAGGAAAAGAGGAAGGCCGAAGAACATACTACGTCGAGAATTGAAATCAGTATTGAAAAGGATGAATATGTATATTTCTATTCCTGTTATCATAGGCTTTTATTTGACCTATTAACTAATATTATACGACTTACTACTCTCAAGTTTGTATATAAACCAAGTATGTCTGAAATATATGATTCGTATAGTGGAGCCTGATATTGGCGGTCTGCCCCGAACTGACTGGGCTAGGTGAGAAGCTATTATCTCGGAGGGCCAATAAGAACTCTAGACTGCTCGTACAGGTTTATGCGTCATTGGTCTGGTTGTATAAGTCGGTGTCTAATTGGCGATCTCACTGCCTCCTCGCGGCATCATTGTTGTTTACGAAATTGAGAGGACGAAAAGCGAATGTCCGGCACTTTAACTGGGTTGGTGGACATGGAGGGTTCACCTAGGGGAGTTGGAAAACCCTGACTCTAGACCAATGGTGCACATTGGCTCCAGTATCCTGAGGGAACAAATGGCATATAAACCAACAATTATTCACCGGCTACCATGGGACTGCATCTCCCAATGATGCTCCACTGCCTTGTGGGTCAGACCTTTAGGTCGAAGTCTCCGGGTGTGGCCCACTAAGAAAACTACCTGCTTTTGGTCTGGGCACCCGGGCAGTATCACAGCCCACACACACATCAAGTAACTTGTGTGGCGCATATGTCTTCGGCGCCCATTTGTACCAATATATATGTGTTCAAATAAATAAATAAATAAGGACGTGATAAATTAGTAGGGTCATAAGTCATAATAGAATTAGAACTCATGTTTGAGTAGTTATATTTTTAGCTTATAATTATGCAGTTGTTGCTGCCGTTCTAAGAAAGCAGAAATCCAGATATACTATGCTTATAATGCTTGTGACTTAAGGCAATATCGAGGCAATCCGTACAGAAAGCACACATGCCAATAAGAGACTGACTAATTGCAGTCCGAAACGTCTGTGGGAAGATTCAAACAAACAATACAAAAGTGAAATAAACCTCACCCTATTGCACAAGCTAATGGCTATCTAGACTCGATAAGTAAGTGGATAACTCGACAGCGTTTGAAGCGGAGAGTACTGGGTTCGAGTCCCGGAGTGAACATGAACTCTGAGATCCAGGTACATCCAGCTTACGAATCCCGAACTGGAAGAAAAGCACGTCCTGGATTCCACTGCTGGCCACCATTTATCTCTGCTTATTTTTAGTCTCATTTTGTGAAACCAAAATAACTTAATAGAGCTACGTTTTTAATACTGGTTTGTCAAACGATAGCTTCAAAAATAAATAAACTTGATCGATTATCTCTATATTAAAAGATTTTATCACAGGCGGATGTTCTGAAAATATATTTTGTTTCATAAATTATTAAGATCTAGAGCTTTCAAATATAGAGTGATGTTCCCATCTTACATCTGATAGTAGTCTGAAAGATTTCTGTGTATGTCATCGTTTATTTCACACAAACAACCAATGTAAAGTTCCAAATGACTCTTTGGTGTATTCATCTGGACCCAATTTCTGTATTGAGGCTGACAATGCACTTTTAAGAAACAATAGTATACTTAATCGACGACTTGTATTAAAAATTCTGACTCTATGAATAGGTACAGATATGCCTCAAAATTTCAACAACAAAAAAACAAGGGGTTATAAAGTTTGAATTAAATGGTTGAAACAGTTAATGTATTCGAACATTTGTGGTAAATCAAGTCATCAATCAATTCAAAGTGGAAGATGGAGTTATTTACAAAAGTATACAAGTTTCATATTATTTTAACAAACATTTCAGTAACAGCTTACTTTAATTATTCCATCCTCACCAGCAGAAACAATCCATTTCCCATCAGGAGAAAAGCGAATCATGTTAACAGAACCAGTATGACCCCGGTAAGTGTTTATGCAGCCTTTACGAGATACATCCCACAGCTAAGTGATGAGAAAATTAGAGTAACCAGTTAATACAAAACAGTAAGTTTTGTTTACGAAATATTTAAATACTTGAAGTTATAAAATTATTGGTGACAATTACAGATTTGAAACGAACAATGAGCCTTGAAAACTATGAAATACCTTGATACCTACTTTAAAAATAAATAAGGAACCATGTACTTTAGGAAAGGGATGCTTCAATGAAAAGGTACTTTAAGTTGAATTTGCTTTTATGGGAGCGCTATCAGTAACGTGATATGTAATTTACAGGTCAGATATGTGAACTTTTCGGAATGATTATTTTATTGTTTTATTTTATTTGAACACATAAATATTGGTACAAAGGGGCACCAAATATATATATGCCACACAAAACAATGAGAATGGGAAGAGAAGCAAAAGAAGGTAAGGAGCGTAGAAGAAAAAAGAGAACAATAACGACCACAGATTAGTGTAAGGTATAATAATAATAATAATAATAACAGTAATAATAATGGGGGAAACAGAAAGGTACAACCAGAAAGGATCCTTTCAATTAAAGAAGTTACGGTCACTTTTCATAAGGAAGGTAAAACAAAGTTACAGCAGGATCACTGGCTTCTATTCTGAACCATATCTGACAACGTCTCTAGCCACTGTGTTGCACCATCTCTAGGACCCCAACCAGGGAGTCGTGAAAGACCAACAGAAGCCAGCCCTCTGTAGCTTTCTTTCACATCGCGACACCATATCATACATTGACTACCTTTCCGTTCTTTCCAACCAGTCCCAGGGTCGGCAAATAATGCTCGACGAGGAATTCTATGGGACGACATTCGTAGAACATGTTCAAGCCACCGAAGTTGACGTTTCAAGATGGTGCCAGACCTCTGCATTACTAACATGGTGTTGCCACTGGACGTCAGCAATCCTTCGGAGACAACGATGATCAAACACAAACAGTCATCTAACATCCTCAACTCGGAGAGGCCAGGCTTTACAAGCATAGAGCAAAACTGCTCTCATCGATGCGTTGTAGATTCGACCTTTTACAGCCAGACTGACATCACGAAGGCGCCAAAGATGGCCCAGATTAACATAAGCTGATCTGGCTTTCACGATATGTGCATTGATCTCATCACTCACGCCACCACCAGCACTTATGCAGCTACCCAGATACACGAACTTCTCGACTACTTCTACTTGCTCACCATCCAGGGTGAGTACAGGATCAGAATCCCGCCAGTCTTGTAAAAGTACTTTGCGCTTAGAAGGTGCAAAGCACATACCATACTTACGGACACTACTTGCCAACTGATTAAGTGAGGATTGCATGGCTTGGGCATTATCGCACAGTAAGACAATATCATCCGCATACTCAAGGTCGAGAAGTCTTTCTCCAGGCAACAGATCCACACAGCCATTGCTTACATCCATCAGAGCTGTTTTTAGAATGTCATCGATGGCAAAGTTGAAGAAGAATGGTGAGATTGGGCAACCCTGTCTAACCCCACTGCTTGGATGGAACAATGGAGAAAGGTTGTTGTATCTCCTTATTCTGCTTTAGGTATTTGTATATAGAGCCTTCCAGATGTTAATAAGCTTCTCAGGCACACGCCTCTTCAACAGACAGTCCCAGAGAACAGTCTTGTTCAACGAATCGAAGGCGGCCCTGATGTCAAGAAACACTACAATTGTTGGCCTGTATGACAGTGTTCTAACATTTGGCAGAGGGTGAAGATATGATCAATACATCCTCGACCAGAACGAAAACCAGCCTGCTTCCCGCAACCAATTTCCCACGGGTTCTGAACAATCTACGAAGTATGACGGAAGCCAATAGTTTGGACGCAGTCGGAAGTAGACTTATCTCCCGATAGTTTCTGCATAGGTGACGTGAATCCTTTTGAAAGATAGGGACAACTATCGACCAGGCCAATTGAACTGCTCCTCGAAGAATTCTGCCCATCGTCCTAGACGTCGATGGATGTTAGTGATTGGCATCGCGTCATCCTCACAGATTATTTCACTCACACCAGACTTCTTGCTACCAGTGGCTTGGGTGAGTTGGAAGAGCTTCCGGCAGTTACCAGATGCAGCTGTTTCTTCAAACTCGTTGAAACGCTCCAACCACCAGACTTCTCGGTCCTGACACAAGCTTTTCCCAATTTCATTACGTAACAGTCGTCGTTTGTAATCGAACTCACGGTCACCCAGAGTAGACCAACGGGCTTCATTGAATTGTAAGGAGCCAGGAGAAACCTAGTGCTTACAAGCGGGACGTTTCGCGAAGCCGTAAGCGACTTTACTCGCCATTTTCATGGCGTCATGCAATTGCAGCCAATGTTCATCTATACTTTTCGGTGGATTGCTAGCTAGCCTAGAAGGTAGCTCGGTTTGATACTTACTTGCAACAAAAGTTGCAACCAACTTGCGGACATCAATCCTTTGGTGGCAGTCACTCCGCTGACCACTGAAAAGTAAGGTAAGATTGGCGCAGACCAGGGCATGATCAGAGTCCAGATAAGTACTCCAAAAGGAGCGGCAGTCTTGTACACAACCACGCCAGCGGTAGCTAATCGCGATGTGATCAATTTGAGTCCAGGCTCGAGATGAAGAGGAAGGACGCCAGGTGGCACATCGGCGATGACTGTGCCGAAAGTTAGTGCTAGCCAGAAACAGGCTGTGGTCTGTGCACAGTTGCAGTAGACCGTTCCCATTATCCGACCTGCGACCAACAAGTCCCCATCAGCCACCTAAACGATTCTCCTCTGTGCCTAGACGCCCTACCTGAGCATTCAAGTCTCCGGCTAGTACTACAATATCTGTCGAACGTACTTTCTGTAGAAGAACAGTTAACTTGTAGTAAAATTCATCCTTGATTGCATCCGGGCTGCAATCTGTCGGGGCATAGGCGGAGATGACGAAAAGACATTGTTTCTCACGCCGATTTCTTCTCACTTTAATGGAACTTTCTAACCAAACAGCACATAACCAACTGTTAATAGAATCCAATCGATTAGTGCTGCCTCAGCTCTAGCGCTCAGTGCGACATCTACGCCAGCAAGACCAGACGAAAATGCCACAGGGTCCCCGGATAAACGCACGTAAAAAAAGCCTTTTGAAGCGACAGATAGAGAGTGAATTTGTAGTACTTCACCAGAGTCTTGAATACGGGTCTCGGATAGACAGCAAACATCGATATTAAGACTTTCTAAAGACATAGCCAGCCCTATCTGTTTTCCGACCTGCATAAGTGTGCGAATGTTAAAGGCAGACAGTTTGAATGGTGCACGTGGTTTCAGAAAAACTGCTTCAGTACTCATATTCGGTGATAATATACAATTTTCAACCGGACAGTGACTCGAGAACGTTTAGACAGGGTTGAATTCCCACTAAAGAAGAGCTGCTGTATAAGTCGAAAAATAATGATACATAAAGTGGGAATAAAAGGAGAGTGAATAAATGACGTAGTAAATAATAATAATAATAATAATAATAATAATAATAATAATAATAATAATAATAATAATAATAATAATAATAATAATAATAATAATAATAATAATAATAATAATGTGAATCGTCTGACTGTTAATCGAAGCAAGAATAGTATTTTCCATAATTATCGACGATTCATCATATTTGTGTGTGGGCTGTGATACTGCCCAGGTGCCCAGACCGAGGCAGGGGGTTTTCTTAGGGGGCCACACCCCGAGCGTTTGACTTAAAGGTCTGACCAACAAGGCAGTGGAGCATTGTGAGGAGATGCAGTCCCATGGTAGCCAGTGAATAATTGTTGGTTTATATGCCATTTGTTCCCTCAGGATACTGGAGCCTATTTGCGCCAAACATACACTAAAACCACACTATATTCTTTACTAAACTTTACAACACAATGCATTCATTTTATTTAGCTTATTATACCTAGTTTTGAACTCTTTCTACAAATGAATAAGTTCGAACAGTAAACAAAATGGATTATACCATAGATATACAAGTTTATTAGAAAATTTTATAAGTAAAACAATTAGGTAATGGGAAATATCTCACCTTTACAAGGGTATCCATAGAACCTGAAGCTACAAAATTACCATATGGATGAAAGTCTAAAGTTTTGATAGCTGATGTGTGACCAGACAAGGCTCGAACAACTACAAATAGTAATGAGACTAACATTGGATTATTCATTGAAACAATCGTGTAAAAAGCAACCAGTCATTTGGCTACATAACATAAGCATAATTATTGAAATATAAATTTCACGGTATTCGTGTGGTAGCCGATATTGCGTAACTTAGATACACATATAACAAACTACAGGATGATTATCTGAAGACATTAATAATTAATGTAAATTATTTGCCGACTACATGCTTATAAATTCTGTTTTTAGCCGTAATTTTTGTGATTCAGTGATGCTATTCGGCTGCCAAAATCAAAATACGTGGAGCGGGATTTAGACCTGTAACCTATTGTTTGAAAGTTGAATACATAGACCTGTACTTGATAAACAAGTTAAGCCATGTATAACATTAAAAAGTAATATTTATCTATAAGAGTTCATCGTTTAGTACGAGTACAAGAACAAAGTGAATGGAGAGTATTTTGATTGATACAATGGTTGGATTTCTATAACAGCTTTAAGATGAATAGGTTAATTTTAGACTAAAAGCTACACTGAAAAGCTATCCAACCGTCAAGCTAATTATTTTACACCATATAAAGGAGTTAAAAGCCAGCAAGTTTCAGGCTAAATTTACCTCTAATTGTGTCCATTCGATTGTAAGTACATACCAAAGAAAACATATTAAGAGAACAGAATGATGGGTCTTTATTGGGGTTTTGTGGATGCTCCATAGGAACTGGAACCAAAACGTCTAGACTAGTAAGATGAACTCAAAATTATTATGGTTCGACGAAGTTACTGTCATTAATAATTTTAAAATAAATCCGTGTATTTTAGAGGATAGTCTTTTCAAATGCACATTATCTTACTGACTTATTTTGCCTAAAAAATCCAAAGCTTACCAAACAAGCATTGTCTCACCCAATATGTTGTGAATAATGCTAATTGTACAGAATAAAATAAAAGCACCCAGGTACCCAATTCATACCAAATGAGATGGAATCCGGACCTGTGATATGATAGAACAAATGAGTGCCTAAAGTGCTGAACGGCGATAATGGCAATCAAGATCCTTGGGATGATTATTTGTTAATAGATAAACATATAAATTACCTTATTCATTGTTAGCTATGAAATAGTAGGTCATACTTATAACCTAGTACACGATTCAGTGTGTGATCGTTAAAATATTCCTATTCGCTAAATTCTCTTATAAATAGAGCATCAAAGTTAGTCATCAAAATGCAAAACACTTATGGATAAAACTTTTCATGCATGCCAAATAATCTACCGGTTCAGAAGTAAAATAGATTACTTCTGTCTGTTACTGCTTCTACAAACTTTAGATAAGACAAATATTCTAGTCAAAAAAGAAAAGTCATAAACAAGCAGTGTAACAATGTATCTGATAGTCGAAAACAACGATGATAGACTTTTAGCCACACATATGAACCTGAATCTACTATGAATTCGGTGTTCATCTTGTTGTGCTAATGATGTGTGGCAACTTGGACCGATGCATATATGTGCCTATTCCTACGTTGTAGTTGACTCACTGATTATAGCCTGAACAACTATGCACTGTAGTAAAAGTATACATAGGTTACCCAGTGAGTCTCAGGTCCAAATCACGCCCCCTCTACTTCGGTTTGAGCGACAAAGTTGTAGTCCTCACAATCAATCGAACACACAAATCCGTACTTGATTACTGAGTTGAATCATAATCATGAATTTTTTGGGCACCGAGGAAGGTGATAACTGAGATATTGATACTAATTGAAATAATTGAATCTTTTCGCTCAATCCCTCGGCTGGGTTAACTTTTCAAACTGTCTTATGCCTTCGAAATTGAATCATCTCACTACGCTTCTAGGTTTAAGTTCGTTTCAGAAAACAAAGATAGGAACAGTCATCTGAATGTGGCTTACTTTTAACTTCCTCCAAATCCCAAATACGGACAGAACCCGATAAAGACCCAGCTGCCACTCTATCTTCTTCTTGACTAAATTCAGAAGCTTCTATGGATGATGTATGCCCTGTCAAACTTAAGATACAAGAAGGTTTTCCAACAGCCCACAGTTTCAAGCGGCGATCTTCTCCTCCAGTGGCCATTACTCGACCAGATTTACGGCCCAAAGTTGCCGCAGTAACAGCGCCTGGGGAATGAGCGATACATTCCTCTATATTAAGAAAGTGAACAAACAAATATGCTACTGAAACTGACCGTTAATTGGGTGGTCAAAATATAAAGTAATAGGTGAGGGACAGACGATAATTGAATTAGTGTCACTATCTTGAGACGTCAACTTCGGTGGCTTGAACATGTTCTACGAATGTCGTCCCATAGAATTCCTCGTCGAGCATTATTTGCCGACCCTGGGACTGGTTGGAAAGAACGGAAAGGTAGTCAATGTATGATATGGTGTCGCGATGTGAAAGAAAGCTACAGAGGGCTGGCTTCTGTTGGTCTTTCACGACTCCCTGGTTGGGGTCCTAGAGATGGTGCAACACAGTGGCTAGAGACGTTGTCAGATATGGTTCAGAATAGAAGCCAGTGATCCTGCTGTAACTTTGTTTTACCTTCCTTATGAAAAGTGACCGTAACTTCTTTAATTGAAAGGATCCTTTCTGGTTGTACCTTTCTGTTTCCCCCATTATTATTACTGTTATTATTATTATTATCAGAATGGGTTTTGTGGAGATTTTTAGAAATTTCACAAGTTGAAATCACGAGCCAATTGAAGCTAGACCACCATGGAAAGCCTGGAAGCACTGGACGGCCGTTTCGTCCTAGTACGGGACTCCTCAGCAGTGCGCATCCACGAACCCGCCCCCCGCGGGATTCGAACTCAGGACCTACTGGCCTCGCGCGCGAGCACCTAACCATTAGACCACTGAGCCGGCATCCAACGGGTGTTAATGTCTAACTTCAACCAATCCACGAAGTTGGCTCATGATTTCAACTTGTGAAATTTCTAAAATTCTCCACGAAACCCATTCTGATAATAATCACCTGCTCACTAGTGACTGACTTCAGGAGACACTCCTGGAGTTCTAGTGAGAAGTCGTTACTAGTGGAGTTCAACCAGGTCTGTTGTGAGATAGGAACTCACTGAAGACAATGGTGTACGGTGGCGCAACTTCGTGGATTGGTTGAAGTTAGACATTAACACCCGTTGGATGCCGGCTCAGTGGTCTAATGGTTAAGTGTTCGCGCGCGAGGCCAGTAGGTCCTGAGTTCGAATCCCGCGGGGGCGGGTTTGTGGATGCGCAATGCTGAGGAGTCCCGTACTAGGACGAAACGGCCGTCCAGTGCTTCCAGGCTTTCCATGGTGGTCTAGCTTCAATTGGCTCATGATTTCAACTTGTGAAATTATTATTATTATTATACCTTACACTAATCTGTGGTCGGTATTGTTCTTTTTTTCTTTTTACATGCACGTTTTATTCGATATCTCTCCCCATTCTCACTATTGTTTTACGGTGAATATGTATCTGGTGCCCCCTTGTGTCAATATGTGTGTTCAGATAAATACCATGAGACTGTATCTCCTTAGATCGCTCAACAGCCTTATGGATCAGACCTTTCGGTCGACAGATCAGTGTGGCCTCCTAAGAAGACCACGTGCTTCGGTTTGAGTACACGGGCAGTATTCTAACCCTCACACAAATCCGATGACGAAGTGTCGCGCATATTTATTTGGTGCCTCTTCGTACAAATGTCTATGTTTAAATAAATAAATTTAAGCAAGCAAACATGATATGGGTGGTAATAAAAAGTTCATACAATTAAACGCTAAAACTAGCCCACATATTTTAAAAATATCCCAACTAACATGTGGAATTTACGGTAAGACTATAATTTATGGACGAACCAATCAGATTTACGATAACGGATCTTAGATTTTGGCGCGAAATTCTTTAACCACTTGGCTAAATAGCGTCCTGGCATTTTTTCTGATATCAGTTCGTAAAGGAAACCTTAAATATATTTTTTATCCATAAACATCAAATGTAAATCACAATCCTTATTCTTCACATAGGTTTGAAACCCTCATTTAGCCCTAGTCAGTAGGTGGATATTATCAAGGCCGCTTTAGTCACTCAAAGGTCGTCCACAAATTAGTCTTACCGAATTTACTTAAGGCAGTACCTACTTGTACCAATGTTTATATTTCAAGTAAAATAAATGAATAAAACTGAATATTTTATGTGCTTCTAAAATCGATGTTTTCCCTAGTCGGATGGACAAGGGTATACATTGGCTCGAACTGGTGGCTAAGCTAAAGAATACCATCTAATAATTCAGGAACAGGTAGTTGATTTCATTGTTAGCGCAGATACTAATTAAGAATGTCATTTAGGTAGCAATAAGAGAAAAACGAGTATTCAGTCGACCACATATTAACAGCTCTTGATGAGAACGTAACACAATATTTACGAGACATGACGATCGAACGCAGTACTGATACGGAAATTCAAGGGAGACGACAGTGAATATATGTCCGAAAAAGCAAGGCCCACTGAAATTACGTTGTATCTCATGCAATATAGGAAAGTTAGTGTTAGATTTAAGGTTAGAATACCCAGAAGGACGAAACTAAAGCATTCATTCATGAGAAGTCGATATACTTCCGGCTACTTTCTAAAAACGTTTATTTCTTTTTCTTGTTTTCTCATTCAGAAGTATTTTTTCTGGTTCACCTAACTACTTTGTCACAAATGTTACTTAAAAAGCCAACGCTCAAAAGGATGAAAATGCTCCACATCGTCACTGGGAGTCTTCTTCTTCGATAGCGTACTATTTAGAATCTTGAACCGAACAATATACAATTATTACAAGGCAGTTTATAATGGATTGTGGTCATTATTATCGAGTCAAAACAAGGGGATCATTGGTCGGATCCAATTAAACATTGGAGATGACTTGATTTGAATATTACGCCGTCCCCACAATTACCAATGAGTGCAACTTACGTAGCTTCCACGCTTTCATGTTGAAGTTAGTGACCAGGGTAGTGCACAAGCGTCCTTGACATTCGAACTTACCGCCTAAGAACGGGTTTTAATATTTGTTGAAGTCAGATTTTTAGAATCTGTGTTATAGTTATAGAAAGAGGTTGATGAGACGGAGAGCTATGGTTGCGTCTAATGTGGGGCGGATAATCGAATTATCGAGGAATGAAAAAGCTTCAGGTTCATAACGTAAAAGTTAAAACGTGACAAGAATTTGTGAATATAATAAGGGGTGGGGTTTTCATAGTTAACCTACATCACTTGTAATACTAGGCTCCGATTATTATCTGACTTTATCTTCTAGCATTGTAAGTCATTCAGTTGTTTTTTGGCACTTCCGGATTATCTGAAACATGTTAAAACCGGAGTGTTTTTTGGTTATTCATTATTCGTCATCGTATTTTCTTTTCTTGACTCTCAATTAATCTCAAAATTGATGACGGAAAAGATTTAAAGCATAACTGTTTAAAAATTAAGTGCCGAGTTTTGTCAGGTCATTAGGTGATTCTGAAGAAGCTCTATATGTTAAATATCAAACTTGTAGTGATGAGCAGTAAGATTATTCAAAGAAGTAGTTATGACAGTAGCGATAGTAATAGTAGTATTATTATATGTAGTGGTATTACAGATAGCTCGCAGATTCAATCTGTACGTACTTCAATAATCATCTGTGGGTTAAGAGTTAAGACAGAGAAAAATTGTACACCCATGTATGCAATGCTTTGGATTTAAACATATATTCAAAACAGTCATTACCCTACACGAATAATACGTCTATTTTATTAGGTTTTGAGTTCCAACTCCGTCATATCATGGTACCCAGTATATTTTTAATTAAACAAACATGACTCGACTAATGAGAGAAAAAGATGCAGTATCCTCTGTGACGCAGACACCCAAACCCTATAATTTTCAAATTATAAACGAACAGATAGACTAGGCTGATCGAATGAGGTAAAGACCCGTTAGATTCCTACGTGGATTGCTGGTGTGGTTGTCTAAAATAATGTAAGTGACATACTGTCGTAGTCTTACATCTAAGTAACGTCATTGGAGATCACCTAACTTTACCAAGCCAAGAGTGACGTAGAGGCTACCGTACTTCTTAAGGTCCCTTGAAAACCAAGCTAATCTTACTAGATATATGATATATTTGTAACAAAGAGGATGGTCACGAGCATTTAACGAGTCTTGATATCCTAGTCATATATTTCTTATTCTGAACTTGTCTATGAACATTGAATCTGTACGGTGTTAAACTAACATTAATAGATTATGATTGATAGAGAGAATAAAGTGAAATTTTTTTGAAACAAAGAAGGAAACGAAGTGTGTGACAACACTGTTCGAAATTACGACTCAAGAAACAATCACAAAAATAATAGAAAAAAACGCGGAAAAAAAGAGTTATGCGAATGTATATCTGTCCAGTTGTCCATGACCGGGCGTGAGCGGCCTCAAGCAGTTGTCCCTTGGGCTCTGCGGTCACACTCCCAGGTCGTTAAGATCAACACTAATCCAACTTCCTTTTCAGGTTCCTCAATAAAATATCCTTCCACGGTGTAGGTGACCAGGAAGTGACATCAGCCCTCATACCCGTATCAGCACACGAGAGCAAGTTGGTCACAATCAAATCCTTCCTACACCTCTTAGTAACTCTCTTATTTCCACGACTAGTCCTTCTCACGTTCCTTTATCACCTCACGCTGCTAATGTAAACGATTCGGGTACGCGGAACGTTATTCCTGGTCTCCTGAAATCATGCTCTAAACTACATGTAGGAGCTTTTAACGTTCGGGCACTGTGCCAAATAGGACAACAGGCTCGCTGGTGTAGGTATAGCATTGAGTCCTAGGGCAGAACTAGCTCTCTTAGACTGGATCCCAGCAGAAAGTTTTTTGTGCGCTGTCCGACTAAACAGAACAATAAGGACTCGGAAAGTTAGGGACACTCGTCGTTGCCTCTTCGTCGTCTCTGTCTACTCTCCCACTGATTGCAGCTCAAATGAAGTAAAAGATGAGTTTTACAGGAAGCTTTTCGACCTCCTCCAAAAAGTTAGGCTCTCTTAATTTAATGCTCAAGTAGGTAAACTAAGCGAAAAGGAAAGACACCTGGGTGGATTTTATGGTGTCATGGCTCAAAGAACAGATAATGGCGACCGTCTGTTGCAGCTATGCTCAGATAACTACCTGTTTCTTGCAAACACTAACTTTAAGCATAAGGAAAAACATCTTTTGACATAATGCTATGTTTGAAGCGATTACGAATTCACCTAGTCTGGGAACAGAATAAAGACTCTGTGACCAAAGACCAATATGCTAGCTATTCTGATGCGTCCCAGCCCCGCTAACTAGAGAGAGAAGTCCAAGTTCGAAACGGGGAAATATATTCCACAAGTAGCCAAAAGCACGAGTAATCCTATCCCGTCTAGTCGGAAATACACTCATTTATATATTGGTTATACACCCTTTTTTGATTAATAATCAGAATATATCACATATATGGAAAATATTTCATACAAGAATATCGTATTTTATAAAGAGTAAAATGTCATGGGGGAAAACGAAACAAATACTACACTGAGTGATCATTAAAATAAATTAAACGGAATTGATATTGAATAAAAATCATAATGAGTAAATCAATTTAATTTTGACTTTTCATCCCGTCATAACACCTGCCCTTTTTTTGAAGACTTGAAGTTTAGACCCTGACCTTAAATTTTCTGACTTTCTCCTCTCCCACGAAATAATGTTGGTTCGGGCTATCTGGTACTCCTGGAGCTACTTGGCTTCCTTTTTTTGACGAAATCCATCTTTATGCCGCAATTATTCGGAGTTCGACTACTCCGTTACCATTGAAATCCTTATTATTCTAGGTGCCAACCCGCTCAAGTCAGAGGTCATTAATGAAGGGGTCTCAAGATATATTTGGAATTAGTAAACATGTCAAGGAACATTTGGTCTAACTGGCCAATAGTTCAAAATGATGCGTAACACGGTTCACCTACTCATTTTCTGGTGCTGTTGAATGGTCGAACGCCTCCAGATAGGTGAGTCTAGTAAATCTTATGCGGTCAAAATCAAATGCTGGAGACTCACAGAGCTGTTGATTTTTAGGATTTACTTGCCGCTACATAACTAGCTGCCGTAATATTCTAGCCTATCATTTGTTGTTCGATATTCACTCAGAAAATGAACATGTTCTTCGTTCAATATAGCTCATCATGCAAAGTAGGGAACAGTTTTTAAAGAGCTTAGGCAAAAATACTTCAAGTCATCTAGAGGTGCATAGATCAAAGGTTTAAAAACATTCTCAATTAGATCAAACAAATAGTGTACATACTACCCTTCCAAGAATATCACTGGAATTGGATGCTGTTTGTTTACAGGCGGTCAGTTCAAAACCATCCTGGTCGCTCGCAGTACGCTACTTCTGTACCGAATTATATTCTACTTAGTTAATGGTATGTTAGGAGAAATAGACTGAAATTATAATTATGCCGCGTTATTTTTGATGATTGTCTTGAGTCTGTGTACATTTTGTGGAGAATTATTGTGAATTGTGAAGCATTGCTTACATTTATAAATTTCCGGTTTAATATGAATGAAGAAGGCTTTTGATTGTCCGATTCTACTACGTTTGTTCCTTGTTTTCTTGTCATTCGAGTCGATCCTAAGGCCTCAGGATTGTAAGTTCCGTGAATTGCTCAAGGGAACTCAAAAGAGATGATAAGGGCTAACACGAGAGAAATAAAGTGGACATTCCTTAAGACAGGAAGGGTTTAATAAATTGACTACGAAGTCTCCTTTTTCGTCCATCGTAGGAAGATAGTGCGACACCTCCCTTTTCGTCGTACTATGTTCAGTTAAGTTTTAATTCGGTTTTGAGTTAGCCTACTGAAGATACATTAAGTTTGGAGTTATTACGTATAATGCTATGGAAGACCTATCTGAATCCAGCAGAACTGGAGGTCAGCTTCACTCACAAGTTAACTAGAGGTCGCCTCGACTATTTAATCTTCGTATGGCTTAGGCCATCAACCAGAGATCCCTAACTAACTATATACTGAACTTTCAGAGTTGTTGCCAAGTGCTATTCATGGTCTTGATATTTGTCTTTGGTTCTCAGTTTCACATGTTTTTGGTCTTCATCGTTTTCTCCTGTCTTGAGGATTCCATGTCGAGTCTTGTTTTGTGATATAGTTTTATAGTGTCCTTAATCTTATCCACCTCCAGAGTTTTTCCCTAATTTCCCCCCTCAACTAGAAGCTAAGTTTTCCCTGCTAAAGCAGATTATTACTGATGGTCTCTTACCACTGGGTCGTGAGCGTCTTGTTGAATAGTTGTCTGTAAACACTCTTACGGCTTTCGTGATAATACGAAATACAGCAAAATAAGATGGCAACTCTTCCCATCAGCCCCTGGTGTATGGTTTGCCCGTAGCTCTCGCATAGCTACCACTCAAAGCACGGCAAGCCAACTTAATTAGTTGATATTTATTTCATTATATCATTCCGAGTTTGATCTTCAGTATTCCTTTATTTTCTGCTTTGAGGAGATGGATGTACATTCGTAAGAATCTTTGCATACAGGAAGGTGAATAAATAGTTTACCCACTCCTGCCCAGTATTTGATCGCCTATTATCTGATTGTGTTGCATAGGCCTTTATTCTATTAGTATTGAAAAATTTTAAGGGGCTCCAAGTCAAAGACAACAAGAATTCGATTGAGAAGGTATAAGAGCATTTTGTGAATAACTGTTGACTGACATTTGTAAAATTTTGTCTACTTATATTCTCTGGCTTGAGAAAGCTCGTAATTTTGTTCACGGTACTTAAAAAAATTAAGTAATCACTTGAGATAAACTATGGTAAGTCAATCTATGACTCCTAACTTGTGGTCATTGCTGTTCCATTATTCTGTTAGATTATGGGGACATGTGAGGTTTATCGTTCTTTCCCTTCGGAATCTAAGGACAATGACCAAAAAGTCAACAATTTTCCTATTAGAGAATCGAGCGTTTTGCATGTAGTTATTTCAGAATCAGAACTAACAGAATTACCATTATCAACTTATGTTTGCGAGTTATGCGGAATCAAAGTGAAAACAAAAGCTAACTTACGGGCTCATCAGATTAAAACTCATAAGATCATGAAGGTAGAATATTAGTCTGCATCTTCTAATGTGTATTATTATTTCAGAATGCAAAAGACGTAGCATTTTATTCCAAGCAAAGGTATAATGTTAGTTATATCTATCATTGCCCTGTGGCTACATGTAAACATAATATTGGTTTAGGCGGTGGATTCAGCACTTACTGGAGATTAAAACAGGTATGCTGAGATTATTGATTAATATGTTCTTATATTATAGCATTACCAGCATGTTCATATGCAGAAAAGTTACCAGTGTAACAAATGTAAACATTTCTTCCCTACTCCCTCATATCATGCCTATCATCAAAAACTATGTGGAGCAACGTATTCTTGTTCACTTTGTTTCAGGTCTTATTCAAGTAAAAAGCACTTACTTCAGCATTACCGAAGAAGTGGGCACAGTAACACTTTATCTCTTAATTCTATTCCTAAAGTCGAAAATACTCCAAACAGATCGCCTTCGAAGAATACATCAATTCCAAGCTCGTATGTTGCACGTAATCCTATCCCTCCTAGCGGATCATGTGGCCCATTAGTTCTCCCACTTCTTATTTTACCAGTTACTGTACCTAACGTAAGTGATGTGAATGTAGAAAATCTGAACAGCAATGTTTTGGGGTGTTTGAATATGAACTTTTTATATACAAGTGCTCTTTCGGCTCTTCGTACACTTTCAACACAAATCTTTCCGAATCCAAATGTCCAGGTAAGATATAAATTACTTGATGCTTTTTATTGCACCCTTTTGCTGTCAAACAATCAAAATTCTAGGGATGTACACGTTTCGCATTGTAGGGAATTCTTAACTAATTCTCACTTGTATAAAATATTTCTCATAGTCAAGGAAGTAGACGTATAGATTTATAAATGAGTTCCATTCAATTGATTGTTCAGTAATGTTCCGTAGTGTCGAGACTTGGTCGGCACATGTTCCATTATTACGAAAGCCAGTTTATTTGTCTCGAAGTTGGGCGTCTGCTAGGTCTCTCACTCGGTTCAACGACACTGTTGGAGACTGTGCCTGGTACTGACAGTAGTATAACACCTCTATAGTTCTCTCACTAAAATCTTTCTTCGGTATCTTGATAAGGCATCCTTCCTCCCAGTCCATCAGTACTTGTTCTCCCTCCCAAATCTTTCTGAAGAGAATGTTGAGCATCTTCGTAGTTATTTCTATATCTGACTTTGGTGCATCAGTTGATATCCTGTTTGCGCATGCCACTTTCCCACACTTAGTTTGTCTGATAGATGTACTAATTTCTTCTGTTGTTGGTGGGGCATCATCAATGAAGTGATCTGTGTGTGTTGCTTCGATGTCCAGTGGATTCAGTGGTGCTGATCTGTTGAAGTTTCTCTACGTGCTCTGTTCGCTTGTCCCCCCACTCCTCAGTCATTGAGTTTTCTGCTTTATTCTTAACTTGCCACTCTGGCGTACCATGTCTCCCTGTAAGCTTCTTTGCTGCACCATGCAGTCATTCCGTACTTTCTTCTCTTGCAGTTTTTTCTGCTATGGTTGCTAGGTTTTCTGCATATTTCCGTTTGTCAGCTCTAGCAACCTTTTCCAATCGTTTGTTTGCTTCTGTATATTCAGCATGTGCCTTGAATCCCCCTGCTTTTGTTTGAGTGTTGTTGATTGCTGTCTCTATCTTATCTTTCTTGAATCGAGGCCAGGCTGTCTACAAAGATCTATTCTTTACTCAGGTGCTTGTTGGAGCCCAGTTACTGCTGTTGTGTTAAACTTACTGTCTTTTAATACTTTTCCAGTCATCTATGGTAGTATCCTATTCTAGTAAAACCACAATTTTTTTCATGTAGCGATTTAGAATTATCATAATGTTTAGAGAAGCTTTATTAGGAGTAACGTTATTTGAGCTTTAAGTACTGATATAAAGTTCAAATGTTTCAGTTATTATTGTTAATCCACTTTATTAAATTAAATTTTCTTATATCTTCCTGCACTTTAAGGTTAATCTCTCTGAATCTGCAATAAATTCGAGCGATACGTCAGTGGTTTTAAAACCCGATTTAGGAAATTTCTGCAATCTTTACGCAGTCCCTGTAAACAATTCTTCTTTGGAGGCCTCAACACAAACTGAACAGTTATATACACCGATCACTGTATCACAACCATGCTCTCATACACTCCAGACACACGAACTTGTGTCTGTGAACACATGCACCGATGAGGATGACATCAGTTCATTCATTGGTGGTCTCTTCTGTAATGCTGCAGTAGAAGCCAATCTTCCTCACTCAAGTACAGTATATGGTAAGTCCTGATCAAATCCAATAATACCCGATTCATGACAAACGGTTCTTTATAAAAGTTAAAATTATATCTTGTTAAAAAATTGATGGTATCTCAGTGTTATAATCTCATAAATGTTCATTTTCGCGTTCTCACCCCATTTATTTGATGTGTAATGTAAACTATTTTGTGTCTTTTTATTATCCATACTTCTCGGTTGCAGTTGTTATAAAGACCTGTTCATTAAAAGTGAGTATCCCCGGTGTATTTATGTTTAGACTGGAAGTGTTTAACTTTTTTCCCTGTTGAGGTAGTAACGTGCCGTTTGATTAGATAATATTTCCTTATTTTATCGCTTTGATAGTCTTTAAAGATCTCGTTCACTGTTATGCTTTTGTAATGTTCAGATAACTGCGAAGTTAGACAAGAACGAAAGTTGTCTTACGAGACCAAACAGGTCACATTGGGTCCCCTCAACGAACACCACCCTTGTTCATCACTAAAGCCAACCAAAAACTCGGTTCAGTCGAGCGACTACATCTCTCTTACTGGGTGCTCAAATAATGGTGTGGATCAAGAAATTCAAGCAAGGTTGCTACCACTACGTGAAAACGCTGCTATGCAGACCGATGTTATGGAAAATTTAAATGCTGAAATTGCTACTCATTATCCTCACTCCGATCACAGTACTTACTTTACTCCAAGCAGAATGCTTGAAACACCACCTCCTCCTATGTTACAAAGTACTGTTTCACTTGGAACTCATTTAAGTACTGCATGCCAAACTTTACATCGTTTGCTGAATGAAGCGAAAATTTCAGACAACCAATCTCCTCGTAAGTGTTCATATTATATTTTCAGCTCTTACTTTAACCAGGATAGCATATCTAAGTAGGATATAGCTGGGTATAGTTAACACGACCTCCAGTCGATAAAAATTCATGACCCCATCGACAAACTTAACATATCCCGTACGCGTAACATCAGCGTTGTTCACTCAATATTTCCACCTTATGAAAATGCTTCAAACAGTAGACAATTGGATCCTCTTTATCGCCAATTGTGTCACTAAGTTTTGACTTTTTGAGCCACGTCGCTGATAGGCTTAATAATGTTTTTTTTTATTGTTATCTGTTATCCTTGGGATTTATGGTTCTTAATCTTGTCGCCCACTTCCAGGCGTTCCCAACCGTTGCTGCTACCTTGATGTGGTGGTCGGACTTGCCTGTCGTGATGACCCAACCGAGCTTTAGTGGCTGCAACATTTGTCCTGTAGGTTTTACCATGCCAGTCAGGTCGATTGGAGGACGTTAAGACTAAAAGCAGTAACTCAAGGTCTGCGGCCTAAGTCGTACTGCTGACTGAAGAGGGGTATGGCAGGAGTAAGGTGTTTTTTTCAGACAGCCAGCATTTGCAACGATGCCTTCCCACAAGGAAGGATGGGTTAGAAAAGGTCGACCCTAAAATTGTTACACCTCATCGTACCTGACGGATTTCTGTCTCCGGCGGTAAGGCATTTTGAAAAACGGAGCTAATACGTCATAAGTTTCCCACAAAAAGGCCGTGCGTGACCGGCCTCAAGCAGTTGTCCCTTGGGCTCTGCGGTCACACTCCCAGGTCGTTAAGATCAACACTAATCCAACTTCCTTTTCAGGTTCCTCAATAAAATATCCTTCCACGGTGTAGGTGACCAGGAAGTGACATCAGCCCTCATACCCGTATCAGCACACGAGAGCAAGTTGGTCACAATCAAATCCTTCCTACACCTCTTAGTAACTCTCTTATTTCCACGACTAGTCCTTCTCACGTTCCTTTATCACCTCACGCTGCTAATGTAAACGATTCGGGTACGCGGAACGTTATTCCTGGTCTCCTGAAATCATGCTCTAAACTACATGTAGGAGCTTTTAACGTTCGGGCACTGTGCCAAATAGGACAACAGGCTCGCTGGTGTAGGTATAGCATTGAGTCCTAGGGCAGAACTAGCTCTCTTAGACTGGATCCCAGCAGAAAGTTTTTTGTGCGCTGTCCGACTAAACAGAACAATAAGGACTCGGAAAGTTAGGGACACTCGTCGTTGCCTCTTCGTCGTCTCTGTCTACTCTCCCACTGATTGCAGCTCAAATGAAGTAAAAGATGAGTTTTACAGGAAGCTTTTCGACCTCCTCCAAAAAGTTAGGCTCTCTTAATTTAATGCTCAAGTAGGTAAACTAAGCGAAAAGGAAAGACACCTGGGTGGATTTTATGGTGTCATGGCTCAAAGAACAGATAATGGCGACCGTCTGTTGCAGCTATGCTCAGATAACTACCTGTTTCTTGCAAACACTAACTTTAAGCATAAGGAAAAACATCTTTTGACATAATGCTATGTTTGAAGCGATTACGAATTCACCTAGTCTGGGAACAGAATAAAGACTCTGTGACCAAAGACCAATATGCTAGCTATTCTGATGCGTCCCAGCCCCGCTAACTAGAGAGAGAAGTCCAAGTTCGAAACGGGGAAATATATTCCACAAGTAGCCAAAAGCACGAGTAATCCTATCCCGTCTAGTCGGAAATACACTCATTTATATATTGGTTATACACCCTTTTTTGATTAATAATCAGAATATATCACATATATGGAAAATATTTCATACAAGAATATCGTATTTTATAAAGAGTAAAATGTCATGGGGGAAAACGAAACAAATACTACACTGAGTGATCATTAAAATAAATTAAACGGAATTGATATTGAATAAAAATCATAATGAGTAAATCAATTTAATTTTGACTTTTCATCCCGTCATAACACCTGCCCTTTTTTTGAAGACTTGAAGTTTAGACCCTGACCTTAAATTTTCTGACTTTCTCCTCTCCCACGAAATAATGTTGGTTCGGGCTATCTGGTACTCCTGGAGCTACTTGGCTTCCTTTTTTTGACGAAATCCATCTTTATGGCCCACAGCTTTACATTTCCTGCACCGATTTTTTTAATATCTGCTAGCATGGTAAACCGCATGGTGAGGGAGAAATACTGGATCTCATCAGCATCTGCCGTACTGATAGATGCTCGGAAACTCATCCCATCTGGCTCTGAACATGATGAAGAGCGGAGTCACCTAAGCGCGGCCTGATAAGAAGCCTACGCAATGATCGTCAACAGTGGTGGGTAGCGAAAACAAAAGAGATGGAAACGGCTACGGCAATAAGCAACAACAGACAACTGTTCAGACTTGTCAAGGAATCCTTTATTAAGAATCCAACTTTTAGAGAAAATGTCTCGGAAAAAGATGAACACACTATTCACCATAAATCCAGGAGATTGGATCGATGGTTAGAACAGTTTAGGGATCAGTTCAACTGGTCTTCAGCCACACTTCGGTTTCCCACGATCTCCAGTCAATCTAAATGGCAAGTTGATGTAAGTCTTCCCACTCTGAAACGAGGGAGAGCAGCAGGCCCCGACAGGTTTACCCCTGCGCTTTTTAAGGATGGTGGTCCAGTATTGGCAGTGAGATTGACTGAGGTCTCAGGTAGAATTTGGGAACTGGACGTAGTCCCATCTGACTGGTCTCAATCACTGATTATGCCAGTCTATAAAAAAGGCCAAATGTCCTCTTGTGACAATCACAGAGGAATCAATTTGACTAATATAGTGTCTAAAATATTAGCTTCAATAATACTTCGACGCCTAACTAAAGCTCGTGAAGAGCAGACTAGAGAAAACCAGACTGGTTTTCGACCTGGACGTGGTTGTATAGACCACATATTCACACTACGTCAGATCCTAGAACACAGACACACATTCAGACGTCTAGCAATAATAGTATTTCTCCACCTTAAAGCAGCATTCGACTCTGTAGATCGTGAGGTTCTATGGCAGTGTTTGTCACTGAAAGGAGTACCAAAGAAGTACATTAACCTTGTAAAGGCTCTCTACTCGAACACAACTAGTCGAGTGAGAGCTTATGGCGAACTGTCATCAGAATTGATTACCTCAAGTAGTGTTCGTCAGGGCTGTCCACTCTCTCCATTCTTATTTAACATTGTCCTTGACGTGTTTTTATAGATAACACTTCCCCTATCTAAATTTCCAGTTGAACTTCTACCAGGAGATTCACTTGTTGACTTAGAAGATGCCGATGACATAGTTCTATTTGGTGAAGACGCTGACAAAATGCAAAGTTTTCTGACCACCGTAAGCAACAATGCAAGCATGTTCGGGATGCGGTTCTCCCCCTCGAAATGCAAAATGTTGCTTCAGGGTTGGGTTACATCGACACCCGAACTAGTGATAGGGAGTGAAGTGGTTGAGTGTGTCGACTGCTCCACTTATCTTGGAAGTCTCATCAGCCCTTGTGGTCTGGTGTGTGACGAAATCTCAGCACGGATACAGAAGGCTCGACTAGCTTTTGCCAACTTGCGTCATTTATGGCGTAGGCGAGATATCCGTCTATCAACCAAAGGACGTGTTTACTGTGCAGCAGTTCGTTCCGTCCTACTTTATGGCAGTGAAACATGGCCGGTAAGAGTAGAGGATATCCGTAGGCTACTAGTATTTGATCATAGGTGTCTTCGAAACATTGCTCGTATATCATGGGACCATCGAGTAAGTAACACAGTTGTTAGGAAACGGGTACTAGGTAAGGATGGCAAATCAATTGATGAAGTAGTGAGACTTCATCACTTGAGATGGCTGGGACATGGGTTACGTATGCCCAACCACCGACTGCCTCGACGTCCGATGTTCAATGGTTTAGGAGTAGGTTGGAAGAAAGCTAGAGGCGGCCAAACCAAAACATGGCACAAGTCCATGAAGTCACTGACAAGTGGACTGAGTCATGTTGGTAGGTGTAGACTACGTGGTTGGGGACCGCGAGATGATAGCAACTGATGGTTAGAGACCCTGAATGACATGGCTCAAAATCATTTGCAATGGCGCAGGTGCATCCACTCTTTGTGTTCTCCCAAATTCTATTCTTCTGAATCCTTCATGTCCCTTATTTTCTTTCCAAATTTATCTCACTGAATTATACTCCTTGAATAACATCTTCAAACCCTAATGTTTCCGACTACTGCTTATACTTTTACTAACTCTACCACTATGGGATTTGAATCGACAATTATATCTCTGTGCTAATGTGGTGTGGCAACTTGAACTGATGTTCGTACTTACGAAGTTCTACGTTGTTGCTGACTGACTTCCGGGCGTTGGGTAGACGTTTTCAGTTTACTTTTAATCTACTTTTTTTCCACATTTTGGTCGTAGTTCACTCGGATGAGTTTCGCAAGATCAGTCGCTGTGTGAGCTATTAAAACCACTGTAAATTCTTGGCTTTTTACTAAGATTTCACGATGGACTGTTTGTTGCTTTTGCACCTTATCTTGAAGGTACTACTAAACTATTTTGTTCAACGACTGGTAATAAAACTCTAAAACTGATTATGTTAGTTTGTAGAATGTTTATGATATAATAATACTAATAATTCACTGTTCCGAAAGAAAGCAGCTAAGTATTTCATCAATTACATCCACGTCTTCATTATTGTGATATTACATTCTTCATATAATCTGTTAACTCTACTTTCCACTACTTAATCCTTTTTTTTCCGCGGTAACTGTAATGTTCTACATGATAAATTTGCTGCCTGTATGGAAGTTCATTGCGCATCGAAACATCTGAAATTCGTAATGAGTACACCATTTGTGCTTAACGTCAACAGCTTATTTTTGTGCTCATTTGTGTAATGGGGTTTTATTGTATTTCCGATTTTATACATCAACATCTATCCCTTTTCAGCTAACTGGTTTGCAAGATAAATGGATTGTAAACGTGGGTGAATAGAAGCATTACCTTCAGTCAAATATAGAAAATGTAAATGGTCTCGAATCTGAGTTGTTTTTCATTAACAGAACAAAGTGCATAGTGATTTTTGAAAGCTTGTTTCATGGAAATTTCTAGGCATACATACTGTAGAATGTTTACTGTCTTATATAAATTGCTTCCTCTATCCCATACTATCAGGTACATTGCTATTGTTTTGAGTCACAATTCTATGTACTTTAGTTTAAACCTCATTTTATTTGTTTCCTTCAAAGTTATGGAGATATTAAACATGGATACAACAACAGATTCCGGTACTCGGGCTTGTGTTAATGTAATAAATTATTCTGGTTATGATTTACCTGGTTCGACGGATCCAATGTTACAATGCTCATCTACATCATCTATCAAAAATTCTGTACAAACTAATACTGTACCCACTTCCTGTGATAATTCACAGTATTGCAATTTGAACACCGTGGAAACAACAACGCAGCATGATTGGTCAGCTAATGTAGATTTCACTCACAATCAAACTCAAACAATTGATGAAGATATAGAATTGTGGTTGAACAGTGTTGAAACACAAACAAATCTAGCGTTATTTGATCCCAGCTTCTTTTCAGATATATGTGTTGGAGTGGACGATGATTTTTTCCAGTCCTAGTTCATCCTACAAAAATAGTTTGTTTTATTCAAGACTCTTGTTATCACCGCCTATGTGTACCATTTATGTCACGTGGACTAGCTTGATTTCAGTGACTTGACAACATCTCTTCCTACCATATCATTGCATACAAAGGATATATATATATATATATATATATATATATATATATTCAGTGCACTCATCATAACTATTTCTTTATCTCGTATATTTCTAGAACAAAATTTATGGTCTTTTTCTATTGGTTTATCATTTTGATTTTAATCTTGTTTCTCTTTGTTTTGCTTTGATTATTTTGTATTTGTAGAAAATTCGTACACCATATTTATTCAGTGGTTTCATTAACCCTACTGCTTGCAGCTCGATAAATTATACTCATTTTACTTTTTCATGTCTTTTACTTTATCGATATGCTACTAACGCGCTTGTTTATTTATTTTACCAGTTTATCAATGCAATAATTTTAATTCAGATCGAATACGTTAGAATTGGGATATATTTATCACTAAATAACGACGTAGTATAATTTCATGTGATTTACTTTTATTTTACTGGTATACAGTCATATAACTGTCTCACAAGTGTAGAGAAATTCGACTACTTAAGAAAGTAGTTTAGAATCGAATATGTTACAAGTATTATCAGCTATTGGAGATTATTAACCTAGTACTTATTACTGATGAGTATCTAGTTATTGTGGGAAGCAAACGTTACAAAATTTACCTCGTGAAATTTTCTGGTTTTATAATTATATGCAAATAAATTAAAGCATGCTCAATGCACGATTGCTTTGGCGCACACTGGTTGGTTAATTCTTATCCAATCAGCGCTAGTCGATAATTGGAGAACACTAGAACCTTCTCATGTAAAAACTATAAATATACTGATGTTTTTCCTACTGTGGTTCTTACTTCCATGTAACCTTGTCATTTGGGATATATTCTCTTCCCTGTTCAACCGTGTTCTGATTTGGGGACTTATCGAGTGAATTGGTGTCCAAGAATAGCTGGGTTATAATAAGAGAGAATTACAACAAAGGGTGAATTAAAAAATGGTCTTTCTAAAAGCATTTCTACAGAAAAACCCTTACAAATTTATTTTCGAAAAATTTGTGGCTTCAGTTTTTCTAGCTTAATAAATAAAATACCCTCGAAAATATGCTTTAAGCAAATAAATATCAGTTATCTTCTCCACCCTACTAACTGCTTTAATTACATTTATTGGCTTGAAGGATTTTAGGAACTGAAACTAAGAGGATTTCAGTTGGTCGTTGATCAAGCTATTTTCTATAATAAAAATAAATATTTTGATTTCTAGATGTTCTTAGAGCGATTGTAGGTTGTTTATTTGATGCGGCATCAAACTAGGCAGTATAAACTATTTCATCTAAGTTCTCTCTCATTTGTTTTCTTAGTTATAGATAAGTCTAAAATAATGGAACTATTTAGTTTCCAAGCGTTTTGTAATTAAGAGAATAACTAAGACATTTTATGGTATAACGGACATTTATGAGCTTAAATTAATTGTTTGTTATGTAGGCAAATTTTAATTGGAAACCACTGGGAGTCCATTCACAGTCATGCTTCCCTTTCAATTGTGAATTTTTTCATATGATAACTGATTCTCAATCAGTACAGATACTACTTTTATGTGACAATTCAGACAAAGGGTAAGATATATTGTCATTTTTGATCGAAATTCCTACCTGGGGTATAATATTTTAACAAACTTCATTTTGCTACTTGGGATTATTTTAGTAGGTAGTAGTTTTCAAAAACATAATCGCCTCAGTATTTGTTTTTATAGCGGATTGAATGTAAAATAGATAGTATTCATATTATTTGTTTAAAAAAGAACCAGCATGCAAATGACAACGAAAAGAATGATGTCTATTTACATTAAAAGATCGTCGAATCTGACAATAAATGCATCTAAAACATGTTTGGTTTATAAGGCAGTGTTTGCAAACAGTGCTTATTGCGAACAAGCGGTATATCGATATATATCCTCATTGTTCTGGTTTCTGCCTATCTTGGGAACAACGAATGATGCATAGAAGACAATCGAACAAACAATTTTAGTGAGTCCATAGATAAGCAAGCAATTATAATTCAAGATAAATTGAATGCTTTTTGAGAAGAGAATTACCCGAAATACACAGGAAGCAATGGTATGAAGTAATACTTTGATATAAATGCTAGTAAGAAGCAGTGTGTATCTGTTTGTATATAATCAATAAACTGGAATTAAAAATACGGAAGGAGAAGGAGGGGACATGAATGTTAAGATGCATCTCTTTTTCTTACAGTATTATTGTTCTTCATTCATCCTTGACTTTATCTTTAATCGTTGAAAAATGTCAATACCTATCATCACGACGAATGAACCATACGAATTCCATAGTGAACATGTTTGTGCATTGACTTCCGGAGTGTTTACACATTGATCATTCTTTATTTGGTTTTTATAGGTATGACAAATAATAAAATGAAAATAGAAGGAAGTAACAGACATTCAGTGTCACTGCTATATCATTTTAAAATGAATAGTCTGTTGTTTTCCGCTATTCTGGTGGGGAGAAAGTGGAACGATTGTATCTATAATTCCAGCGAGGATGACTCACTAATATGTAAAAGAAACCAAGGAAATTTCATATATAAACAAAACGGGCAGTAAAACGTAAATAAAAACGAAAGTTGACAAATAGAGGCGTTAACAGTAAATTCGATATTATTAGCAGAATTTGTTTTTAAAATGTATTTAATTAGGCAAAAAGTAACTGCTTCGAAAAACCACAGTTACAACAGATACGATAAAAACAAGCAGCAGGATAGAGTTTACTTTTGGTTTGTTTTATCCTGCAATTTCAGCGGGGAATTTGAATCGCTAGCAGGATTTGTGCTTTGTTTTAATGTATTTGGCTCTGGGTATTGATGTGGATGACCGTATGTTTCCATTAAATACTCTGGATTGGTTACGCTAAATCCACTGGATATTGGAGATAAGTATTCTTCTGGTGGCTGCGTATTCGGACTTAAGTATTCATCTAAAAAATGAGGAAAATTAAATCAAGTCTACAGAGACAGACAGAAATGGTCTTTTCGGTTTATTGTGTAATAATTTAGCAAAAATTACTTCGTAAACAAATGCAGCATAGAACTCAACACATCACTAGTTCAACTGTGCGAACTTAATTTCTCGTTGATTTACATAGTTGTGTCATACACAGAAGTATTAGTGACTCAAGCAATTCAACTGTCGGACATTCAAACCTGGATTTGAAAAACAAGGGTATTTACTGGTGGATATACTGTCAACATTTACGTTCATAAAAATTAAGTCTACAATTGTCGTACAGTTATTTCCAAATACTTTACACTAATTCATTGCAAATGAAACTACAAATTTGGAAAATTCTCATATTGTGATTTAAAATGAGATATATATGTAGTTCTGAAACTATAAATGAACATAAAATGGTGATTTTTACTGTTGTTTAAACCCTAGTCGATCACCTAATTGAGACTCGGGATCATATCGTATGTATTAAGTGCGTAGGACATTAGATGGGAAGTCCATTGTTTTATGTTCGATCTCGCTATATTCTATTCAGTATATGTTTATGACAAGTGATTTGTTAGGTTATGTTAGAAACCTGTTTTGCCATCACTAGTACAGTGATAAGGACTAAGTATATGATAACCTATACATTTGAACGTGATAATATATGAAGTATACTTAAGTTTATAATTTATCAAATTATCCAACAACTGTAAAAATGTTCCTAAGTTAAAAAAAAATTTCTCCGTCATATATCAGAGATGAAGCGGTTTCATGGTAGCAAACATCAGGTTTCGGTTTTCAAATATAACCAGGGTAATCAGCTGTTTAGTTTAAGGGTTCAAGCCGATTTACTTTTTTTAAATATATATGAAATTGTAGATCACCAACAAAGATGATCTGTGTTGAATGATTTGGGGCCTGTTCGAGTTAGACGGGGATGGTGTAACGAACCAGCTAACTTTGAAGTCACACTTCGTGTTCAGAACCTAACGTGGATTACCCTTTCGTCGTATCCAGTTACCATGGCTAGTTCGATGGCCGTACAACACAAAGGTTAATATAGAAATATATCAGTAACAGTAGGTACAAGGAAGAAATTGTGACCACCACTGTATGGGCCAGTCCATGGTGTGTGATTAATTGACACGCGCCAGTTGTTTTTGACCCTGAGGCGGATCAATGGACTGTTCGGCATTCATTGACCAGACTGCCGGATAATTTGGTCAGGATTCAGTGACATTTCTTTGGCTCTACAAGATTACAAGTTCCTTTCAGGCTGAATTAATTGCAAGTTAACCATGTATATGATAAATAGTGTCTTTCTATATTGAATAGGAAAACGCAGTAAAAGAAATTGTACAGATGGTTTATTAAATGATTTTCTTCCCAGTTAGGAGTAACTAAATCATAGAGCAAGCTTGTGTTAACGAAACAACCAAGTTATTAAACAATGCTAAAGACTTTGAGCTCAAGGTATTCCGGCTACTAATAGAGTTCTAAATGGCTGAATTGAGTAAACGAGATAATCAACAGGTAGTAACCAGTGGTATGCTAATCTTAGCATTCATTGAAATTGGCCAATTAGGAAATATGATGTGGACTTGAAAAATAGTAAGACCATAATCTAGTGCAATGTTTGACATTGGATATTAAAAAGCAGTCAAGTTTATTCATGTATATCTACAATAGAAGCTAAGTTATAGGGAAATGTATTATATTTCTGAACACAAACCTCTAGTAGTAAAAGCATTGGTAACCATCGGTGGGCCCAATTCGGTATAATTCATTGATTTTGACGGCGCACTACTGTATGCGTTTGATATATTTGAAGGATTTTTAGTCTTCGGTTGTAAATAGTCATCTGGTAAGCCACGTGGTACAGGCGGTGGCGGTGGTGGCTCAAGCAGATAGTCTGAAACAGTATTTTTTCTAAAACCGTTTGATGAATTGTCATGTGTGCGCGGGCTGAATTTAGTGCTCATTTCTTCTAAATTTTTACCAAAATTGGAATGATTGCGTGATTTATTATAAGAAGGTGATATTCCTGACCATTCGGAAGTTTTAGTAGTGGTAGAAGCAGTAGCTGGGTCAGATAAAGCAACAGAACTTATTGATTCAGGATGATCTGACTGTCTAGGAATATCGTTTAACCAAGAATCCTCTCGGGAAGCCAAAGGAGCCTTGTGTTGTTTTACCAAACCTGTTGGAAAATGAGATACAAAGTTCAAATAATATGCCAACTATAAATTGTTGCGTTTATTTAAAAATTGATCTAACGTCAAATTACTGATATACTGTATGCTTTGATATGAATGAGAACTGATCATTAAGATACTAATTCTCGTAGACCAAATACTGGGATAGTAATAATGATTTAATAGTCGTAATAAATGTAATAACCAGAAAGATAAAGGAAAGTAGCAGTCTGGGTAACCCATTTTTCAAAACATTATTACCATTATTTTCTATGTAGATATCAGCAATTGGGTAATGTGTTTCCTTAATTCCCCTAATCTAAAGTTTCAGTTTTATCAATAAATTCTGACATATATTATGCTATCCCTAAATCACTTTAAGTTAATTATGAGTGGCATTAAGGTTTCTACCCTAAACGACTTGTTTCGTTGTCGGTCGTGATCTGTATGCTAAAGTATTTCGTCATGTATATTTTTGAACTGACTCGGAATGGTTGATGGATTAGAATTTGTAGTATTTTCTCTACAGTCACACCCTCTTTAGGTAACCAACTAGCATCCTCGTAGAAGATCATTGGTCACACAATAGGATAGTTTCTATCCATAAGACCGAGTTTGTACGGAACGAACTCATTCAGTCTCAAGATTACATTAGGTAGTCTAGCATACCAAGGACGTTTACCAGTTCTGAAACAACTTCCCTATGTATCTAAAAACTGAATCAGTAGGCTTAAGAAGGACATAATAATACCAATAAAAGCTGTATTAATAACAAAAAATTTTATTGCAGAAAAGTCACACCATCAGTTGTGCATTATTGAAATAAATTTCTCTTTAACATACATTTAGATTGTAATTATCCAAAATTTTGTTTCAAAAATACTTTTTCAATGGTTATTATCATCCACGAAAGTTTACTGTCAGTTTAGGTGCTATTAGTATAATGATTCCTATTGTTCTTGAATTGATTACAAGAAGTAGCTATTTAAGTTAGAATTCACCTTTTTATACTGCTTTAGCTACAGAGTTTTCACGGCGATTCCAACAAACCAGTAATATGTTTCTTAGAATTTCCATTTTATGAGCCTTAGTTATTACTGCAATATTATACAACGGTAATAATGATTTTAAAGATGAAGATTCTTCTATTAAGCCTTCGGTTTCAAAGAGCTAAAAAACCGATTAACTGTTTATATAAGTTGAAAAAGCTCCAAATTTATTCGTTGCTTTCACTGAGGTATTTAGTACACAGATACTTTGTTCGTCACAAAACCAATGAAATTCGGCAAATGAGTACAGTTTTTCACATACAAAGTAGAAGAAAAATTGAGAGTTTTCTGTATCCAATCCGGTCGTTTAGTTTACTTTAAAAAAATTAAGAAAAACCCAGTGAAATTAGTACAATCTTCGGAAACTGTGTACTCATGGCCAGCCAAGAAATCTGACCTTAGTTTCTGGTTCGAAATAAGACAGGAAGAAAAATAAGTGGTTTATATTTCGAACCAATTAATAATTAATTTTAAACACCGGTCTTCTACAATCCATATTTCACACTCACGAGGGGAAAATGTATCTAATATAACACGTGTACTACTGAGCTATTAAAAAAATTCACTAAGTGAATAAGTTGATCAAGCTGTCAACCAACAAAAAAACTAGATGTGTTTTCTTATTTTCTGACGTTTTTGACTAATATTATTTGGGGTGCTCAGTGAATGATATTGAAAGGGAATTTATGAGTTGATGAACGAATTCTTAAATCACCACAGATAACTACTTTCTAAATACATCTCTCTTATGTCAGGTGTTTAAAGTTTTAGGAATGTCTAAACTGAAGCCTAAATTTGCTAGCACGTATAAGGTAAGAATATGTGGTGGGGATACATAAACATGTACACAGGAGTCAAAATGTCATCACTAATCTACTTGAACAGACCTTCTGTTTATATCATTTTAGAAAAGATTTGAATTATCCCATTGTTAACTTATCATTTTTGACTTCGTAAAAAGTTAAATAACCATTCCATCAAGTCTATGAGAATGGCAAGGATTTGTTAAAAATAATTCGCTGTTGGATCTAAAATAAGTCACATTACAAATTTACGTTTACATGGCGAAAGATTTACAAACAATATGTATATTATGGTTTGTGATCAAAAGAAGAAAGTTGTAAACGTGAAGTCACTCATCCAACTTAGAGATTATTCTTACTTATACTATCTGAGTTGACTTTGTCATGAAAATTTGATCTCTTCCATATTCTACCTAGCCCTGAAAAATTTGTATCAGAGGTATTTGAGAAACCTCCAGTTCCAACTCCATGCTGCCGTGATTGCCAGGTAGAATGGTTTCCAGCGTTACCATTATTTGATCGAATGGGTAGCAAAAGTTGTGTTTCTGTATGTTCATCAGTCTGACCAACGGAAAATGGATCAGATCTTTCACTAGGCTGGTCAGATAAAGCTCGAAGTAGCTTTCCTGAAGAATAAGGTCTAGTCATACTTGGTTCTGTTAACATAGTATGATGACGGTGTAAACTATTATTCCTGTGTGGCGTTGTACCTCCATCAGGGACCCCGCGTACGGACAACATCGGTTGGAGTTCATGAGACTCAGAAGAAAAGTTCCCAGAACCTGAATTTGTGTTGTGAAAGTAATTGATTGCATATTGATCACCCTGTATTAGAAATTTTAAAATAATTTAGTAACTCATATTAAAATTATTTTAAGAAGACAAGGAAACAAATAATATGCAAACGTTGAACAATAAAGCGAATGATCAGTATAGAAAACCAACATTTTGGTAATGGAACTGCCATTCCCTTACAATCTGTTGTTATTGATTATGTACGGATTCGCTAGATCTAACTAGTCAGAATGAATGATTACTTTTCAGTATGACAAAAGTTGAGGTTTTGACAAAGTTTGTTTTTATTTTTTATGATTTGGGGTACGGATGTAAGTAGTTCCGAGGAAATTATTTTGTCAATGTTATGAATCAAATCCATTAAAAATCTGGTCAGTAACAGGAGGGAGATACACTCAACTGGTGAGTATTAAAAACCATCAACTATGCTAGGATACTCTTCCTCCTAAATCAAACTTTATATACCCAACCTCTCAACTGTTAATTTGCACTAAAAGGCTAACAACAGCAGGACTAAGACAAAATAGTAAGAATTTCAGAAGTAAACAACAACCAAGTACAGTAAGATAATAATTAAACTAGGAACAATGGTAGATAAAGTTACACTGTTTTGGATTCGTTTTTTTTTAGTAAAACATGCCTTTCTTGATATATTAAAAAGAGTATGCCTCTGACCTCTAGGAGACCAGAATTCTAAAGAAAATGAAAAAATGTTACTATTATATATATATATATATATATATATATATATATTTATTTATTTATTTACTGGAAGTTTCACCTCCCATCTAATATTTTAATTCAGTAAACTATAATGTCTTACAAAAACAACTAAACCACAAATCATTATGGATATCTTTACTTAACCAGCTTTACATTGGGGTGGATAGCTAAGTGCAGACATTTTGCATTGCATCCGACTTTAGTGCTAGGGGCTCAAAGTAATATAACACTTTATCCTACCGTGGAAACAGTCTCCAAAGGATGAACGAATAATAGACAGGAGACATGAATCAGATTAATTAGTTTTTATAGAGAATATCAATTCTTTATCTTATAATCCAAATGTATTCGTTTCTTAAGTATGAGCTCGCTTATCTATAGAACGATATAAATTTAATGTTCTAAGAAAGAAAAAATCCAGAAACGAAGAACAGTTTACTGTGTAAGCAGCTTTTAAAGTGAAGACAATGAATTAGAAGGAAAACCAGAAATTTTTACATCAAAGATGAGCCATAAAATATCCCAATATAAATGAGTGTTTTGTGAGCAGTGCCTTAAAGCAGTTCAAGTTAGCTAAAAACGTACGAATATGCGGTAATTACATAGTGATTATTTTTATTGTGGAGATCTAAGATATACGGACTATACACATTCAAATCTATTGAATCACATCTGATCTCTTGAGCCACGTAGTATTCTTTTTCTGACACCAAAATACAAACCAGAATTTGGAAAGTAGAAGAACATAATTTTGTCGAATAATATCAGTTTTTCTCTTATTTTGATTCACTTCTTTCGACATGAAAGTAGTGGCTAAAATGTCGAGGCTAAATGCTGTATTGAACTTTCACTTAATTTTCTTATAGAAAGTCTGATACAACAAAAAGGCTTGAAGATTTATGAAACATTACGTATGGAGGTGAAACCGATTATGCAGTTTAGTATACTTTTGTTTATATATGACGAATTAACTTCAGGGTGTAACAGAAACGAAAGATAATAGATTATTTTGGGTCAAATTATTCTGGTGCATAAACTATGAAATTCTGTCTTACAGTGTTAATAGTATTTGGTACATGAATGGAACCAGTGAATAAATAATGGGGAAAATTTCTGAAGTTAATTATGCATTACTTTTACATTTGGTTGTTTAAGTAAGGAAATATCAGAATAACCGAAACGATGGTTTTATTACTGATAGATGTATTTCTTTAAAAAATCTCTCTTTGATAAAACTTATGCATGTTCAGTTGATGAATTGGAACAACTAAAGTTACTTATTTGATATATATATATAAAGCCATAAAAAATGTATGCATGTGAATGTGATATGAAAGATTACAATATTTGATTGAATTTTATTTATATTTTAAGCTTACTTCAATGTATAGATAACGGCCAGGAGTTTTGCAAAATGTATTAAATGTACGCATAAGTTCAATAAATGTAGGACGAGACTCGTAATCTTCCATCCAACCTGAATACAATGTGATACAGATAAAGGTTTAGAAATTTTGATTATGTTTATTGATCTTTAATTTTATTACTTCCTAAATAGTTACTTAAAATGGATTGATACAAATTTTGTAAACGATATATTTTTGATAAAGATCTTGACACATCGGGCTAGAATGATTTGCACTGAAGACACCATCGAGGAAGAATTGAATAATATTCGGAACCTACTTAGCATGAATGGGTATCCCATGAAATTCATCGACAAACATATGATGGAGAAGAAAACAAGGACGAAGATACCCACCGTCCACAAGAAGGTACTATTCATAAAACTACAATTCATAAATGACACCATTGAAGAAATCTTGACTCAGAAACTAAGAAGAGCCGTACAAAAAACGTTTAATGCTGCCAGATTAAATGCAATCTTCTACAACTATCCCAAAATAAGAACAGCCAACAAAGACAGACTGCCTGAATTCGCCAAATCTATTTGTATCTATCGTTTCAACTGCTCCTGTGGAGCCAGTAATATTGGGCGTACAATTCGGCAAGTCCGTCATCGCATTACTGAACATCATCCGTCGTGGTTAAACAAAGGACAGGTAAAAGTGATTAAAAGTTCTATTCCCTCTCACTTGGTGGACACAGGTCATCAAGTCGAATTGAATAAAGCTTTTAAGGTTATCTACAATATCCCATCTAATTTGCCACATGGTTTACGAGTGCGCCTCTTGCACATTGCGGAAGCCATCGCAATCCATGTTCACAAACCTGACCTTTGCATTCAAAAGAGATTCGTATAACCACTTTCCCTGCCCTGGCCATCAGTTTAAGATTTCCTTCAAAAGAACTAATTTTCATACTTCTTCCACTTGTTTTTTTTAACTTTTGTAATTTTCAGTATGGGGGTTGTGGAGAATGTAAAGTTTTTGGTTGAGATCATGAATTAATTGGTGTTAGACCTCCGTTGGAAACCTGGAAGCACTGGACGGCCGTTTCGTCCTAGTATGGGACTCCTCAGCAGTGCGCATCCACGATCTCGCACCCCGCGAGATTCGAACCCAGGACCTACTGGATTCGCGCCTGAGCACTTAACCATTAGACCACTGAACCGGCATCCAATGATGTTAGTGTCTAACATCAACCAATTCACGAAATTGCGCGACCACCATCCATTGTACTGAGGTAGATACCTGTCTCTACCCGACACGGATTAATTCCACTGATCACGACTTCTCACTAGAACTCCGAGAATTCCCTCACGAAGCTAGTCACTAGTGTGCACATGTTAATTATCAGTATTGGGGGATTCTTACGTAACTACCATCCTATTGACCATCCGTTAAAATTCTGTTCCTTCTTTGTTTCTTACATTACGCAACGTAGCAACTTCTTGATCACTTTGAATATTAATAATCCTCTTTCTCCCAATTAATCAATGTTAATTTAAATGTAATTATTACGTAACGTATCTACTCGATGAGTATTATATTATTATTGTAAAACATATATATATTAGTGTAGAGCCATGATGAAAAACTAATTGAAAAGAAATTTCTTCGCTCAATTCGTTCCTTCTTTATTTACCAAATGGCAAAATGGGAATTTTCACGATATATTTTTGACTGGTTATCAATTGAAAAAGAAAAAAACTAGTATAGAATATATTTTACTATCGGGTGAATAGACGTAACTCAATAGACTACTTTGTCAGAGCAAAATGATTTCAAACGTAACAGTTTGTTAAATATAAATGTCATAAATTTGTTGCGGAGACTAAAAGGTAATTGTTAACTGAATATCAAATGTATCTCGTTCAATCACATACTCTGATATATATCACTATACATTTCATAACTTATTAGATAATTTGACATTTACGGTTAAGGTTTAACTTGCTGAATAAAAATTTTCTGTTTGTGCTAATATCTATTACTGATGAGTTTTTTCACAATGATTAGTTAGAGCAGATTCGACTGAAAACCATATGGTAATGAATAATATGCTCGCCAAAGGTATTACATAGCGTAAATCCGCAGACTTGAAGTAGATTATCGATGAAATGTTTATTACACCGCTAAAACTGTGCTGTTAAAGAATGTATTTTCTAATTTCGTATTTAGCTAACAGCATACGTGCAATAAATTGTTATAAATCTTCTGCATTTTACTGTGTTAGTGTGCTAATGCAAAAGTCAACATTAGAATCCAGGTACATTCAGGTTTCAAGTCCTGATTATGACGAAATATATGTCTTGATTTCTAATGTTAACCAGAATTCATCTATTTAAAGATATATGTTATTACAAAAACGAAACATTTGTAGATCAATATGAACTCCATTATAGAGGTTCCTAATCTACATTCATTGACGACAAACTAAATTAGATCTTTTCCAATAGTAATGACGGAAATGCGGAAGAGTACATTTGTTTTATTTTATACAAGAAACGGATTTCCAACATAACATGAGGGTGCTGGATATTTACAGAGGACTAGTTTTTATGATAAACCTCTAAAGTGGAAATGCAAACAAAACATTTTTTTTCCTTGGAAATTTTAGTTTTTCAAATTTTTTAATAAACATCGCTAAACTACTATTCAAACTGTTTGTTCCTACAAATGAAGTGAGCTCTTTAAAACGTCAGTGTACCTAGCACCAAGTTTATAAACGATTGAGAGTACTTCAAAATTTTTAAAGCTTGATACCATAAGTACCCTCGTACCATGAAGGCGTAAGCTGTAATATACATAAAATTGTTATTAGTAATTCTAATGCACATAATATATGCAATTCACTTACATTTTACCAATACCATATAAACGTCCAAAGTGCATATGTCAGGTTGAGTCAAACGTCCACCTTTGATTACATGATCCTTAATATCTACAGTATCAACATCTTCATATGGTCGTTTGCCAAATGTAAATATTTCCCATAACGTCACACCTAATAAAAGTAAGTATTAACCGGATGATTTGTTTAGTCAATATATTTGACAAGAAAAATTTCGATGTTTAACCGCGGAGGAATTATTACTGGAGTGGAGATTATATCTCGTAAATACTGTGCACCCTTTGATAACAAACTGGAGAAATGATCGAAAGATAGATCATTAATATTATTAATAATAATAGTAATAATAATAATAACGAAGACATTTTTTTCCGCATTAATTACAGTTCAGCTAAATGAACAAAATTTGAAAGCTCAAAAGATAAAGGAAAACGGACTATTTCAGATAGTTTTTCACTATTCAATTGCTAAAATTCTGGAAATGTTAGGTACACCTTTTCACAAACATCTGCTGCTACTATATTGGTTTCTTCATCAGTTCTGTGAAAAATATACAGAAGACATATAAAGGCTGTATGACAGTTGACGTTTAAATTGAATGAGAAGAGTGTAAGCAACATCTTTGACATTTTACACACATGCACGCTAGGCTTAAAATAATCATATGTTCATTCTGAAGAAGACTACTATAGTTGTTTAAAACTGTGACAGTTAACCAAGAATGTATAGAACTCAATTTAATTCACTGAAACTTTGACTATAAATCCTTTTGAATAAAACATAAAAATGCGTGTATTCAGCCACAAATTTTGTTCTATTTATTGTATCAAATGAATCCCGTATCTTTGCTTTCTACTTTGCGTAGAGCCACTTAAGGTTTTATTCACTCATAACATTTATTTGTAATGAAAATCGACCTTAAGAAAGATATCCGGAAAATCAAGTTAGTTATTCCCAAATACGTTAGATGACAAGAAATAGAAGGCTATAAGACAGTCGACTGAGAAATGAGAATTATATTAAAGTTAAGGTATTCAAAGTATTGTTTGCCCAATGTAGGTACTTTCATTGAGTAATAATCGATATAATACACATTATGAACATTGTAATTGTATCGGACTGCCGTTCTGAAGATTTTGCAAATAGTTTAAATTTGAAAATTGACAATATACCAGATATATTAATCAGATAAACCTAGATTTAAATACAATCAAGCGATCCATAAATGGACAAAATAGTCGTCCATATTTTAGTTCAGTAAGATCTGAGATAAAATCTGTACCGTCTAGGTGTGGGCTGTCACACTGCTATGATTTGATAGTAATATCACATGGATGAATTCCATTTCTAAAACTCAATTTAGAAAATTAATTTAAACGCTGTATACCTTTATTTACTTAATATGAAATTGTAAATATTGACACATTAGTGAAGTAAATACCATTTTTAAAGCAACACACGCACAAACAAGTGATTTCATTTGAATAATTGAGTTTTATTATCAAATTACAAAGGACGCATAGAACAGCAAATTATATACTGTTGTTCCAGTTCTCAATATAGTTAGTAAATTCATTTATTTTAAAGTTAAAATGGATAGTCTTCAGTATTCGTTTGTTCTCCCACTATAATGTTGATGTATAAATATTTTAGAAACGATATTTCTGCATAAACGATTCCACCGAAAATATTTTATTTATATCTATTTAAGCCCTGAATCCACTTAAGAGAATATTATTAAAGAAATAGAAAGAAAGATTGAAAGCATGTGTTATAAATAAATAAATTATAAAAGCAACACATAACTGTCAGTACAAGGAAAAGTTTTCAACAGTGTCGCTGAATCGGATGAAAGATTCAGTAGACTCTCAGCTTCGAGATCAGTAGGCTGGATTTCGTAAGACTCGATCGAACATACAAATTAAGAAAAGGCATTGGTGATGGATAGGATACACACTTCAGATATCATAAAACTGCATCACGAGGCAAGTTGTAACTTGGAATCCTCAAGGATAAAGGAAAGGCGACAAATCAAAGAACAGATTGCGTCGGGAATAGGAAGCAGACATCAAAAGAATGAACAGCATTTTAGAATATCTGTAAGGAGAGGACAGAAACGAGTTGGTTGGCGAATCCTGGTTGGCTGTGAGGCCTAACTAGAGTAAGTGAACAATTATTGTAGAATTTTTGACAGAGAACCAAACAAATGAAATAAAATGGATTATCATGAATTCTTAATTCAACAGACAAAAACTAGTCAAGTGTTTACTGAACAAAATAAGTATTTATAATTTTAGACTATTAAAAACACTTATCAGTCAAAATATGCATACATCGGATCAAAGTAACATTTATCAGTGATATAACCAAATCTCTTGAAGGGTAAATTGTTACGTAAAAGAACATTTATGTTTGCAAAGGTTGAATGGCTCATAAGCTTAGTTGATCAATTCAACATAGAATTAATATGAACTAGAGAAACATGTATTAATTTTAAATTGAGCGATACAAAGTTTATTCAGTGAACATTGGAACCTAATAAAGTATGTAACTGATTGAAACCCTTGTTTAGGCATGGTTGTTCAGTAAATGAATTAGCATTTACAAGCAAAGACTATTGTCATACATTGAAACAAGTAGACAGATATTGTAGAATTTTGAAGTTCTTCTGCTCTGTTTATTATGTTTTTTGTCTAATTAGTACACATTAAAATACAACTGTCAACCAACACCAAGGTCAGGACTTTCAATACAAATGTCAAGACAGTTCTATTGTATGGGGCGGAAACCTCGAGAACTACGAAAGCCATCGTCCAGAAGATATGTATTTATTAACAGATGTCTACGCAAAATACTTCAGATCCGTTTGCCAGGCACTATTAGCAACAACCTACTGTGGGAGAGAACAAATCAGATCCCAGCAGATGAAGAAATCAGGAAGAAGCACTGGAAGTGGATAGGACACACATTGAGGAAAGCACCCAACTGCGTCACAAGGCAAGCCCTCACGTGGAATTCTCAAGGCCAAAGGAGGAGAAGAAGACTAAAGAACACGTTACGCTGAGAAATGGAGACAGACATGAGGAGAATGGACGACACTTGGATTGAATTAGAAAGGAAGGCCTAGGACAGTGTGGGTTGGAGAATGCTGATCAGAGGCCCATGTTCCATTGGGGGTAACAGGCGTAAATATATATAATATATAATATATATAAATGAAATATAAATAAAGTGTATAGCTTTAATAACAGTTAGTAGACTTGCCAACAAGTTGATGGAAAATGTTTGTCGCTCAGTATTAGAATTCAAGAGATGTATTCATTGAGCTGGATGGTTTAGTCGTGGAACTTTCATTACCAGCACATATGTCAAGAAGAAGTATGTGCTGATATTGTTTTTTTCTATGAAGACAAAGTTTTTATGAACAAACCACCGAACATAGCATCTCCAAAAACATGTTAATGCTATATTAATGATAAATTACGTTTAAGGCACAGCACAAATAATTTTCTTGTTCCAGCAATCGGTTACGTATTTTCCTAAATTTCAGAACGTTTTGTCAAAAGAATAAATTTAACACTTGACTTGGTCGCAAATTTTGTTTACTGGACAACACTTGAAATATGTCTACGAAAACTAGTCATTCAAGAGTAAAATGTATACAGTTCTTCGGTACATTTAGATTGCTTTGTGTACCCAAAAGATAATACTGTGATTCTGTACAATCCTAAATATTTCTAAATAAGACTAGGGTCAACTTATGGTTCAGCCTATTCATTCGCGATTGGTTTGGAAGGGTTTAATAATCAGAAATATTCATACTAATAAATATTTACGTCAATAAGCAAAGCATCGTTCAGGCAGACATGATGTGGATTGCTACAAGACAATATGTGTTGTAAGGGACTTTATTTAAAATGGTAATTATTAAGTTCAAAAATATGACCTCGTGTTAATCACACTGAGATCTGAAAATAAAATTAGGAAATCTGATTCTTTGGGAATTAAGGTAATGTGCTTAATATTTAACCACTGAGAATCTTATTATTCAATAATGGACCAACATACTGTTATTATTTAAATTACGTAGTACTGTCTTTTTTTATTCTCCCTTCCGGTCAACTATACATTAACCAAAATCTGATTTATACCTGTGCGTTTTTGTTACGTAATAAATCAGTGCAAAAAAATACAAATTTTCTATTGACATGATTAAAAGATGAAGAAATACGACAAGGGTGTGATAGAGTTTCTGAAGCAAACTAACAAGCAATAACCACTGATACTTCGTTGGTTTGTGTACATTTTTGATAGTTCAAGACATTATTGAAATCAAATTTTGGTGATGGCTAACATTAAAATCTAGGACGCTAGATTCGTTCTATCTAGAACTATTTAGTTGGATCTACTCACTCCCGTGTAGATGTTTACTCCTTTGACTTCGAATGTACAACAAGTTATCCATTTATCAACTGATTTCACATAGCCACTGGCTTGTGCTCAGAAACCACATGGGAGAAAAGTAACTGGTTAATTACAGTCATTGACATTAAAAACGAGAGGGTTTAAACCTCTACAAATGAATTAAAATCCAGTAGATTATTTTCGTGAAATACTACCAATTTTTTTGTATGACTAATGGTTAGGAAAGCTTTACATTGATGCATTCCAGAACGTAACGAATCAATGATACTTATATACACATGTATGTGTAACCCTAAAATTCTCTGGTCAAAAAGTACTTTCAAATTTGAATATTTCTCAATTTTTACATAGGTGATTCTCCGAAATTAAGATCTGAACAAAGTCGATAAATGGTGCTGAAATACAGCCTAACCCGTGATAGGATTTCAGCTTAATGTCATTTGATCACCGATATGCAAACAATGAAGCATAAATGAAAAGTAGATGGCAAATGATACCCATAATAATAATTACTAATTCCTCCCTGATAGACACACGTTGAGGAAGATGGTCACTTAGCGTCCTGGATTGACTGGAGTTAGACTTACACATCACTGGATTCCGGCTCAGAATTCTAGAGGTTAGACGTTCGCGTAAGAGACTGGAGATCCTGGATTCGATTCCCGGCTGCGAATCTGTGGTTGCATACAGTTGAAGAGTCGCTTAAAAGAGTGATACGACCATCCACTGCTTCTAGGTTCTCAATGGTTATCTGATGTAGATCACTTTGTGACTTCAATAACTTGAGAAATTTGAAATAAAACTGTCTCTACAAAGTTTGACAGAAATTGGGCACCGAGTATAGAGAAGCCATTATATGTAAAAATTATATTCGAAATAATCTTAGCGATTGAAATTTAAATAATTCCAACGTTTATCCTTAAGAAGTCCAGATGAGTTTGCTGGACGCAATGTTTGTATTATTCAAATTTCAATCGCTGAGTTTATTTCAAATATAATTTCCCTATATAATGTATTTATAAAGGTTCTATTAGTTTTAATCTGATTGAAGAGCTTTACAAATCACCTTGTCAACTTTTATTCCAATAAGTACCTTGTCTTTATTGATAGTAGTTGAATGAAAAACTTCAAATGTGTATAAAACTGGACTATTAGGAATGTGTAGATGATTGACTGAGAAACACTTTCAATTCAATGAAGTCAGGAGAAAAATGGATATGGGTACTTATTACCTACTACCATTCAATATTACTGACCGATTTTAAAGTGAACCATATTTTTAGTAATCTAATTACATGTCATGTATCTATAGAGAGTATTCTAGAAATAGTTTGTTTTCAGATTACCTTGAAATTGTTTAGCTTTTAGGTTGAAAGTGTTTTATAAGTATTTGTCAAACGGACACTACAGTTTTTTGATAGCAAATAGGTTTCTTTTTTAAACTTAAAAAAAAACATTAAACAAGAGGTATTGTATTTTAGACTTAAGGTACACTTATTGTTTATTGACTGAATGTCTAACTGTATGAAGATTAGTCGATAAAGGAAAATGGATTATTTTTATATCATGTCAAAAAAGTTGTGACGTGAAAGTATATATAATAGTTAAACAATCTAGTTTATAAAAGAACTGGCCAGTTGGATTAACAAATTTACCGACATTTCATTTCTGACAGTATTCAGTTTTCTAAAATAAACTCGTTAGTGTTAACTGAGATTAACAAAATACAGAATCGTAAGAAAAAAATGTTTAAGTCGCTTAAACAGTGTTATAGTGACTAATCTATGGGATATAAATAAAATGTGTTCCACAGATGGTTTATGTGTTTCTGTTTTAGTTTTATTGAGACTTTAACAATGAAATTATTTGAAATGAGTGACATTCTAATCTTTCTAAAGTTGAACTGAAGCCGAAGAAAGAATGAGATAAATACATTTCGTCCAAAAAATCTTCGACTATTTCAAAATGAAAATACCAAAAGATGGACAAGATTCTAAAAAGGCAAGAATAATTTAAAGACATCAAGAAGTAACTCTTTTTCGAAAACGTATAGCATCATTGCATCTTCAGCGAGAATTGAACTTATTCACCAATTAAATCTTCTGTTTACACGTTATAATACTATGAAATACAAAACCAATTAAAACCGTATGTTTTTCACAAAATCTACTTTAAAGGTTTTTAATTATTACTCTCACTTCGACTATTTCAAGTACAACTTACAACAGAATTCAATTATTTTTTTCAGTTCAAAAAGATTTAGATGATTGACTAAAGATCTATTTGTGTCTAGTAGATACAGGGAACCATTAGAGTACCAATTGTTCGAATACTGATCACAATGTTGGTTTATTCTGAAACATAAGCATTAACGACCTTCCTGAGATTGACTGTAAGTCATTAAAAATCTTTAAGGTCTTGGAAAATTATAATTTTTATTACTACTTCAAAAAACATAACATAAAATCAGTACTCAGCTTTCTAAAATTCCTCTTACCGTAACTCCAAACATCTGTTTTGTGAGAATAAATCCCATATTGTAGTGTTTCTATAGCTAACCAACGTATTGGCACACGACCAGCTTTTACGATGACACTGTCTTCATCACGGCGTTCTAACATTTTAGCTAAACCAAAATCAGTAATCTGTACATGTTCACGTGTCTGAACGAGAACGTTTCGAGCAGCCAAATCTCTGAAAGTTGGAGAAATATACAAAAAACGTGATCATCGTTTAAAAAATAAGTTAAATACTTCAATAGCTCCTACTTATATTAAATTCCACTAAGAAAATGATTAGATATAGAAGACCTTTGAAGTGTAATATACGGGGTACATTTCGTTTTATTTTGGGTTAGCCAACCAATTGTTAATGTGACATTGTTCACATTGTTCACCAAGAATTAATCCCACTGAAGTTCTAAGGATTCACTGTTGTAAGAGACAAAATCTACTGTCTGTAGTTGGCAACTTTCCGTATCATTAAGAAAAGAAAAAAACGTAAAATGAAGTGTTTTCTTTTTCTCCTTTTACTTAATATAAAAATAAGCAATCTACTAAGTGAAAGTTTTCAAAGTGATACAACTCCTCTTTATTATTGAATATTGTAAATTAACAAGTAGTAGATAGATAAATTCGTGACCAAAGTCAAAAGACATTTCATATTAACACTTGACCTCCAAGGTTGATTACATTGATAAGTACATCTAAGCTCAGTCAACACGTTGTGAAACAGCTTATCATGACAAATTAGAGAAGGTAATACATGTGTTCGATCAGATTGATGAACTTAAAGCCGTTCAAGTATTAAGTAATAGTTTCTATGTGAAGTACAAAATAGGCTTAGAAAAATATATCACACTATTTGATGTAAATATTGAGTTCCATTCGGAGAAATATGCTTGTTTTTCTGCGTACTGAATTCTAATCACAACCTTAGTTTTGTCCAAAATAGTTTTGAAGAAATTCATGCTTTTAATAGATGCTTGACAATAAATTAATTACGAAATTACTCAATTACTATATTTCGTTTTTATTTCCTAGTGAGAAAATGTATGGTTTGGATATTAAGATTACGATATTTAGTCTAAATGACAATTTATCAACTACCAAATTTGTCTCATTCTTTAACTATTAAGATTTCATAAAGATGAAAATATTATCTATACAAATCGAATGAACTATACACTGATTTGGAATGATAGTCTTGAATATGCTTCTTCAGAGCACATCTAACACTATTAAAAAGGAGACTGTCCGCTTAACCCTGTTTACACTTTTTCTTAATGAATGATTCAGAACATGCGCATAATTAAGAAAAAAAAGGGAATTTAGTAACAGAAAGTAAACATTTGTCTAGTTATGTTTTAAAAACTCAAATTGAGTTATGCTCAGTGTAGTTTTAGAGTGTATGTTTCACCATGGGGAAATTACGAATTAAATCATAGTCAACAAACCACGTACTAGTTACTTATGTGAAGTCGAGTAAGTTTATAGAATAATTAAGAAGAATTCGAATATAATATACAGCTCTAATTTTACTTCATCGAAGTCTGCTTAAAAAACAGACAGTCATGCTATATTGTCAAAATGTTAACGTTCTTAGGTATTATTATTCGGAGTGGTGAAAAGAACAAGTGATCAATGAAGAGATCTATCTACAAGGTATAAAGTACTATAACTTTGGGATAGCTAATATTTAATGTAGTAGAAAATATGAAAATATAATGTAGTAAAAGTAACTAGCAATATGTGAATGACTAACCGATGGATAATTCCACGCATTTCCAGGTAGCTCATTCCGTCAGCAATTTGCTCAGCCCAAGATAAAAGTGTAAGACTATTTAATTCATCTGCATGTTGTTTCACATAGCGATCCAAAGCCCCTAATTCGACGAATATTGAAACTAGACAATGACGTTCACTAGATAGACATATTCCAATTAATGGAAGACAATGACGATGCATAACAGATGCCATAACCTGTAAGACAAGAAAGTAATATCAGCAAACAATGAACACAATATGCAGGATACAAAAAAAATAATACTAAGAATAATTTTTATCAACAAACAGATTAATCCACACATACCAAACGTTTGAAGTGTTTTGATAAAACAGCTGTTTGATATTGGAAGGCATCTTTATTTACAAACTGACAAAAAGTAAATAATCGTCGAATGTCAACAAATATTATAGATCTATTTCTCCCATGCTGAAACGTCTCAGTATTATTGACCAAAATCAATAAATGTTTTGTAAAATGTTTTACCCTATAGATTATTCAACAGAGTATCAAACAGTTGGCATTGTCGATGCCCAGCGATTTAAAATAGACTGAAGCGTATACCGTGGACTTAGAAATCCTGAGGTAAATTTGAGGTTCATGAAGTCTGTCAGGTGTAATGATTATCGGTTAACGAATATAAAAGAATAGTTATTCAGAACTATTTTATTCTTAATAGCTTCTCGAATGAATTATTGTGTTATATGTATCATTACCAGGGTTCGACCTGATAATTTCGAATTATTGTGTTGTTACCTTAGTTAGTTTATATGTGGTTATTGAACTTGGGAAAAGGAATATGAAAACGAATAGTGAAATTACATTTCCATAAAAAAATTGTTAGTAGTTAAATTAAAGAAACGTACTTATTATTTTAGCATCCAAAAGACAGGAATACTAGGAGTGGGAAAAATTATCCTAGATTAATATTATAACCAAAACTAACTTATAATTTTTAGAAAGAGGAATATTTAGTCACAGTGATTTCATCTGAAATAATAATCGATCAGTTTCGTACTACAAGTATTTTAATTTTATTAAACACCGCCGTGTGCTTGCAAAGTCTCAACTGGCATATGCATTTTAGTTGATAATGCAATTATGTGGTGTTTATTCGATTATCAATAATTGATAGATGATTGACAACAGTCCCGGCTAGTATTATTCAAAAGCTAACCACCATTTATAATTCAAGATTCAATTAAGATAGTGACTATTTTCAATCATAAGGGGACTTTTATCAGGTATTAAAGTGATCAGTAAGTCTAATGTTGAAGTTTCTATAAACTCACATAATCGTTCAAGCATACCATGATGGAAGATTGATTGGATGATGGCCCTGTACTGCGACCCCTTCCTTAACTTCATTCTTTCAACGTGGAATAATATAATAATCTCACATATAAATTCTCATTTAGCGAAATTCAAATAATTTCACGTTCATTAAATAACAAAGAACAGTAAAGTGAACTATATTTTTAAATACCTTAGCTTCCTGAAGAAGTTCCTCAATATTAGCACGTACGGACGCCCGCTTCGCTTCTTCTTCTGAATAAGACGAATTACCAGCTTCAAATGGGGACGATGGGTTTGTGGTTACTGAACATTCAGGTGAATCATTTAAGATAACTTTAATTGCAACATCTAGTTGAGCACCTCTATGCCAATTATATCGAAGTAGAGCATGTTTAGGTACTTTCCATACACCTTTGTATACAGCTCCGAATGATCCTGTTCCTAGAGGAGCTGAGTTGAAATCACAAGACAAGTCATCCTGATTGATCATTTCCAGCCGCCCCATGTTTGGTTCACGACTTACGGATTGGGTCTTAACACAGAAAATGAAACGAAGTTTTTTCAGCAACGGCATGAGTTAAGCAAGTATTAAATTAAACAAACCAAATACCAAGCAGATAAGGATACAAGCATACCAGTTGACTCCGAGTTATAATTTCAATATACAGGCTAAAGTTTGCAGTTAAAATTGATATTCCCTGTAATTTTAATACGAATAAACACAAGTAGATAATATTTTACTAAGCTAAGGTGAAAAAGTTAATACTCGGTTAGAGCATATCAAGCTCCGCTTGAATTTTGGATGTTACATTAGAAGTGGCTATTATAACATATAAGTTTAGTTGCAAACAGGCTGGAATCGGAAGCAATAGATATTGGCAGACGGATTCATGACTAAAATGAACATAAAATAGATTGAGTAGAGCTTCTTATGTTTTATTATATAACAAAGTTGAAATACTACCTCAACGATATTCAAATGCTTGCACAATGATTGTAAGCTGAGGAGTAAACAATACATCATAGAAATCCTGCAACAGGAATAAGTAAGGCCAATCAGTCCTATCAGACCGAAATGCGATATTCAGAATATTGATTACTCAGCACATCGTTTATCTCAATGGCTCATTGTCCTCATACTCAGTAAACGAAATGATTTATTATTCTTCCGTCACCCGATTATTGCTGATCGTCGACGGATCATTAAGTAACTACAGTAAAACTCCCAGAAACACTCCTATGGGCGGTGTTCAAACCAGTAATCGAGAAATCATAGAATTTCCTACGATTAAAGAAGGTTGTCCAAAGCTATGAATTTTAATAATCATTTAAAATATTGATAGAATATCGTTGTAGATACTCACTTTCATATCAGGTTCTAACAAGTTAGTATATGCTGAGCGTAGTTGTTCACGTATTTTTTCTGCTTCAGCTTTCCGTCTCAAACATATCACCAGTATTATTGTAACGAGTGCAATAATAATAAATATGGAAATAGAAACAGCAATAAGAATTCTGTTACGCAATTCTCGAGCTGTTTGACCAGATAAACGTGCATTTTGTTCAGCTGTTAAACACATGCCATGAAAAATATGATTGTGATCCTCTGGACAGGAGGAATTACAAACGAACTGAAAGGCAAATGAAAGGCAATGCGGTATTAACTATCTGTTACTGCAAAAATATACAACAATTCTTGATTAAATATTTTCATTGATAAACATAACTTTTTAATAGTTCATTGTCAAAATAATATACAAATATATAGATTTATAAATTAGGTATTAAATCCATACCACATAAATGGTGTTAGATCAGTTTGGCAGGTTAACTACGTATTTGCCATAAAGATAATAACGAAGATAATAATAATAATAATAAGTAGTTCATTAAACGGGTATTAAGAAGGTTAGATGATTAGCTTATTAAGACACACTACCTAAGAATAAAATTAGAAATTAAAACTAAATAAAACTGAAAATACTAAAAAATATTTTGTGAAACATAAGAGTAACTCATCGGGAAGCCAGGTTAGTTTCGTCATATGCCATTTCAAATTATCACTTTGTTTGCTTGTACTGGTTTATAAAGTTTGCCATTCAAAATATAATTCCAAGACATTTTGTATTATTCGTTTATTAAAAATAAGTTGAGTTTTAATTAGTGGGATTAATGATCGACGATATTGTGGTCATGGTGAAAATCCACTCCCTTGACTCTTTTCATTAAATTTAAATCGTTCAAACTCAGTGCTGAAATGTCTTGAAAGTACGATTTACGGAGGAATACGTAACAAGAACAAACAGAGTTGATTGGTTCTCTTTAGCTTACAATGGTTCTTTAATTAAAAGTAGTCAAAGCTATTTTATCATCAATAAGATGCTTAAAATTAAAATTCCCGCCAAAATGTAGTTAAAATAATATTTTCTTTATTTTTCTCTTATTTTGGATTGAAATGTCTTTTAAAACATATAACTAGTGCTTAGAGCAATATTATTTAGACTAATCCGTTATCCATTTAATGATAACAGGTTCTACTTAGTAAGATAGTTTGGATAATAATAAACATCAACAGCAGATTAACTACTAAAGTACATATGTAATAAACCTCAAATGAACTTGAAACATCTATATTTATTATTGTATCGGTTAACTTTATCACAAAATAAAGTTTTAAGGACAGTATCGAAGTACCTGTTACCTATGACCATTTAACTATCTCAAATTTTTCAGATCAGTTATTACACTTCCAGAAACATCTATCAGGCTTAGATTCGGGCTTATAGATCAAATATTACATCATAAGATGGATAATAACTAAAATACGCACCTTGTTCTGACAGTTGAAGCAATAATGAGGACACTTAGTGATAACGAATCCCAAAGAAAGGTTACTTTCAACTCCACATATTTAATGGATAGAAATAAAGAAGGGTTGGTACTACAGAATTTAAATTGTTTGGCTTGTTGAAGTACCTTGCAGCAACTTTATGTTATTTTGTTCATTGAAATATAAACGGCCTACCATTAAAAGAAGTAGGGAAATTAGGAGTTTTACTAGTATTAACATACATTGTCCATTTGATAATTGAATTTACATGAGTTATTTAGAAAGCTTTCTATACTTTGAAGTAGCAATAATTTGTAGAAACTTCAGAAGATCGATTCGTACAAAAACTCGACTCATTAATGTCCGTTACCCTAAAATATTTTCACATGGGTCTTGAAACGTAAACAAATCTTCATTTTAGTAGCTCAATTATGAAGAATAATAACAACAATTGTAAGCGACAACATTCATACTTCGGAACTTAGAATCAAAATTATGGTGAATTTTTATGAGGCACTCAATTAAGCACGAAATATATTTAAAGTTGTCACAACTGATTGATCACTGGGTGGTGATCAATGTCATGTGTGTCAAGTCCTTATTTAGTGCAGATCGAATGCTATCGATCATGTTGCAATGTGGCCACCAGTCTAGGTGACTCGACACTAATAGCTAACGGATAGCTCATTGGTAACGTCTCTGACTGTAAAGCTGGGTGACACGGGATCGAACCCGCCGGGGAGCACCAGTTTCTTCAAGATTACAGGTACACCTTGCTGACGAGTGCCAGGTAGCACGAAACCCGGGTCCAAGGTTTCCTGTTGACTACCTCCAACCACCATCTAATTTAAAGTTGTACCTGCTTCCTAAAAATTTTACTATAGTGATAAAATTTTATTTCAGATGGATTTCTAAACTTATTTGATAGAACTGTATGATATGTATTAACTTACTTTATTCGTTTCTTCATCCAAGATAATTTGATAATTTCTACATTTAACACAATCTTCTGGACCAGGTCCAGAACAACCTTGAATACACTGTTCATGACAGAGCAAACATCGACGCTGTGAACGTTTCAATTTAATTAGAAATACTGGAGCTGCTAGTGAGGACGTTTTGTATTCTTGTTGATTGGCATCAATGCTAGCGTTAGTGGTGGCAGAAACGTTAGATAGAAAAGTGAATTCTTTTAATTGATTTGATGAGAACTGGGTATTGTTACTAAGAGTAATTAAATCATTTTCTTCATTGTCCGACTCTTTATCAGATCCCGCTAGTGAATATGTTTCCGCTATAATAATGATATTAATGCGAAATTCATAATAATTAGAAATTGAATTGAATTTGAACTCCTTGGTAAAAGCAACAATACATCAAATACAGTGACAAGTTAACTTGATTCCTATGAAACAAAATTAACTGTACATAGTAGCAAACTAAATTCTAACTTCAAAGCAACCATGAATATGTACTAGTGAATAGTAATTGTCAAGGAATACGAACCAGAGTCACACGATTTCACACTTACGGATGTCCCAAGTGAGATACTGATATAATGACTAACACTTTATACAACTGTATTATTCAAGCTAACTTGTTGTAAACCAGTCATGTCTCGCCGTGTCAACCAATTCGAAACCTATGTTGATGACTTTGTATCAATTATCTTCAGTCTTCAAGAGTAAAAATATAGTGAATCATAATGTAGAGTTACTCAATCTATAATTTATGGACGAACCAATCACACTTAAGATAGCAGATCCTGTGTTTTGGCGCGAAATCCATTAACTCGTTTGGCTAAATACCACTTTGGCATTATAGCTGATGTCAGTTCATGATGAAAACATTAGATCTAATTCCTGTCACTAGCATTCAACCGTAAATCCTAATCCTAATCCCTCACATTAATACATAACTCTCATTTGTTCCTAGTAAGTAGGTGGACATCCCAAGGTCATTGTAACGTTGCTCAAAGATCGTTCATAAATTGTAGTCTTACCTCTCAACGGCTTGGAATGTGATTTCCTCATTTAAGTAAAAAATGGATACTTCACAAAAATTCTTTTTTTGTCCTTCATTTGGTGTAGTAGAAAGATTGATTTATTTACAGTTAGTGGAGTAATGGAAAACTCTGACAAGTACGTAGTGGAGACACCACGTTACTGTAATCGTTGATATGACGTTTACTCTGAGTTAGTTTAATTATGTAGTTGTTTAAATTAAAAACTCATATGCTCCTTCTCCAAGTTGTTATGGTAATAAGTTACTTGAAGAACAGACATGCAATTAAATATGTGGTCATATTTCAGTACGAAATTTGCGATAACCATTTAGTGAATGAATTCGGTATCTTCTCGAGAGTGTTTAGAGAAATCGTAAACACGTTAGATGACTTAGTGATCATAATGAATAACCAAAAGAAACTGAATTTATTTATTTCCTACTTATTTGAAACAGAAAGTCTTGTTAGACGTCCACTTAATCTGTAATTAAAAACCTCTTTCTCTTCACTTTTCTTACCAAGGAAAGAACTTTTTATGTTTTGATACTTTTGTCTTTATCTTCGCTGTTGAACAATACACCAGCTTAGCACATCAAATTTGTCCCATTTGGTTGCTTGATCACAATATTCTCGTATTATTAGCTATTACCTTAGATTCAGTATTTGTATGTGTTAAAATACACCAATAATATTGACACACTTTGCTTTCAGTAACTTCACACAGTAACAAAATAAGAAAACTATTGTCAGGTGAAGCCAGCTAATAGACAAAAAAACTGATGGAGAACAGGGGTGATGAATGTTATTTATTTGGCATTGTTAAAAACAATGACGTATTCATAAACTTTTATTTGTGACTTAATTCTAATAAATAAAGTAGACAATAAATCATTTTTTTATTATTTCTGCTATTCTTCTTCTACTTATTATTATTATTATTATTATCATCACAATCTGGGGTACACGTTTGCATTTTGAAGGCAACATCATAGCATAATTTACTGTACTCATTGATATTAGTAGCAAAACTGACCGAATCACAGTTAATTTATGCTTGGAAACAATTTTTTTATGAATATCAACATTATCACTGCAATTATTGTCATTACATTAGTCCCTTTTCTCTCAAATGACAATTTAATTTAACAGTAGTAGGAAAACAATGAATACATTTGGAAGATACAAATTATTAGCTATCCGAGTTAAGTGTGAAAGGGCATTAGCTTAGTTGTTTTGGGAGTGTATGAATTTTATCTAATTAATAGAGTGTTATGCAGAATATGATTTTTGTAAAATCTAAACAATTACGCAGTTGATAGAAATTATTGTTTGAGAACTATTAATGCATATCTGTAATCTAAGCACAAAAATCCTAGGGAAGATGAGTATTGAAGTAAAGCTAACATCAATTCGTCAGTCGGATTTCCCATATCACTAAAGCATGAAATCTGGTGGAGAACCATATTTTCGTTAAAGATTATGAATTCATGAATCAGTTAGTCACACTTTTTCCACATTATCAGACTTCTCAGGAACCGAAATATTACTGGATTCACACGAGACTGAAAGATACAATTGTTTTCTTTATTACTGCGATACACCGTGCTAAGTAAAAATAGATTCTGTCACTGAAAAAATAAACTGTTCAGAAAAAATTCCAGTATTCCTTGCTTTCATTTCACATATATCCAAACTTTTGAGTTCACTCTTGATTAACTATTAGCTACATGATAAGATTTTCCAAGTCAAGTTGTATTGTTTTACCCCATCCCCGTATAAGTGCAACTTTACATCATATAGTTATACGTTTGTGATCATTTTCTGTCTAGCAATGATAACCAAGAATGGGTTATGAATGAATTATTGTCGGTTTAGTTAAATGGGTCAATTGACTGAGTTATACATTCTAGCATTGGTTCTTTATTTCGATTGAAACGTTCATTTTGTAGACAGATTGGTGAAGTAGTGAAATAAGTTCTTATTTCATTCTTTTCATAATACCACTCGTTTTGTGCACACTAAAAATAACTGTTCCATGAAACGGACAAAGCTGTGAATCAAATCTTCTAAACGAAAAGCATCAATCTCTTTTAGATGAAACAGTTCTTGAATTCGGAACTTTTTTTGTTACTTACACATTAAAAAAACCAATGAAATAGACATTAAAATATCACAGATAAAGAAAACGTTTTAGAGGACTAAATGTCTTGAGATTTGCTAAATAAATAACCTACCGGGTGGACAAACCTCTACACATTCTGATTTAAACCACCAATGAGTACAACTATGACATATAGATGCATGTGTTCCGTTTGCTGTACATAAATCACAAAATGGATGACACGGTTTACACACACGGATCATACCCCCAAGTTCACCTTTTTTAACTTGATTATGAGAAGATACAATGATATTTTCTTTGTTTATAAAATCTTGTGTTTGATAAGATTCTGTGTAGTGTTTGGGAGGACAATCATCGGGTAGACATTGGTATTTGTTTGTTGTCTTATCTAGTGACAAAATAAATTCAAACTTTCTGTTTAATTAAATAATAAAGCTTTTAACTATTAAAGTTAGTCTCAGATAAAAATATCACCCTATTATTAACTTCAGTAAACAAGCAACTTCAGTTGCATGGATTATTTTAATACTATTTGACAGTCTTGTTGAAGTCGTGTAAAGTCATTGAATTTACGCTCATATATACCTAGAAAAACCAAAAGGAAATTGAAGTGGATATGAAAGATATCCCTGTGTATAAGACACTGATTTGTGTCCCAGTCTGGGTAGGTGCGAACACCGCGAGATTCACTGGGGATTGAGTTGCGAAACTTCCTGAATATCTGGCATAAACAAACTATTCGGAATTCAACATCACAGACTGATTTTGATTAGACAATCATTGAAAATCAAGATGTAACGGACAACCGTTTCGTCTCAGTCTAAGGCTCCTAATAAATGAGTATCCGCGGCCCACTAAGGGATCGAACCCAGGTTCTTTGGACTTCGTGAAGAGCTCTTAACCTTCAGACTAATGAGTCATCGTTCAATAGTTTACTAATCTAACCTTGATAAACACACTATGTTAACTAGCAGAGATGCAAGTTCAACTATAAGATATTTACACCCAGTAAACGATATTATATCATACATCAGAATCTTTACAATGGTTCTAAAACTCCTGCCTATAGGAAGAAGAAAGTAATGAGTGATGAAGGTGTACAGAGTTTCTCAGTGTACCATGTTTCCTTTCAGAGGAATAATACTAAGAAATAGTTAATCTAAGAAACTGAATATAGATCTAATTCATTTCAGTGATATGCTTTGGAAACTAGAGAAAACAAGAGTTAACAGTTATATCGATATGTCTTTCGTCATTTGTGATCAAGAAACAAGTCACCAAAGGAAAGTCACTATATTTAGTTATGTCGAAAGAATAGTTATTCTTTATTCCCTGAGGCGCTTCTTAAATAAGATTAGTGAAGTTAACTAACAAAAGCATATGATTTGTTGAGAGATATCAAATTTTTTATATAGATCTCAACAAAATCTGCATTTGCTATTCAAATATCTCATTGTGTCTATGTAATATATATAATTATATTCTTAATCTAACTTATCTAAATGGTTGGATATAAGCGAAAATAAGAAGCCCATTTTAGGAAGTATTTCATGAATATGTAGAATATTCAATGAATCAGATAGACCCTTAATTAGTTTACGTATCTTGACACAACTGAGAGTAATTTGCTGATTTCCGTGTTTCTAAAGGAAGCATAACTACAAAAAATTCCAGATTAGATTTAATATTGATAACTAACCTTGTATAACTGTCCAACATGTTTCACAACCACCCAAGCCAAGAAAGTTCCCTGGGCCACTACATAAGTGATTTTTCCCAGTGGTCAGTATGTGACTGCACGACTCATTACAAGGTAAACAATAATGGGTTTGTGGATCTACGTATGTATTTTGTGGACATTCAGGTAAGCAGGTATCACCATGCTGAAAAAAAACTTGATAGTGGTAATAAATGTTGTTAGGTAAAAAACATTGCTTTTATAGACGAACCATTAAGCAGCTACAAATACTAATAATTCTGAAAAGCAAAACCTAATGACTTTCCTTTCTGGCTAAAATTAGGTTCCATAATAAACAACACTACACAGGAAATGTAAAAACGTAAACTTAAACTTAGTGGAAGTTAGGGGAAAGTTAGTGTTATCTTGGGGAATTTCAGATTTAGCCTATTTTATACACAGTTAATCTCTTCATTTAAGTTTAGGTTTACAGGATAAGTATTTCTTTTTAATGACTTTGTCGATCCATGTAAAATAACTTTCTATATAGTCAACTAAATATTAGTAAACGAAATATATTCAGAAATTAATCGGATAAAAGGAATACTGGGCAATTGAATGTTTACCTTTTAAGGCATTTTTGAAAGGACTATCTAAGATAGAATTGATCAGTAGTTTTTTCTCCAAGTTTGTAGCCTGATTTATTTTAAAGTCTGTAATCTTTTGGTCAATTTTTCCCCAGATTATCTTTTTTTTTATTTTGCATTGATATACATCTCATTTATCTCATTTATCCAATGTGTAATTCTGACTCACATCTCGACTTGTATTGTCTTTAGAAAAACATACATTTACTTATATCAAAATATAGGTCGTCTACATACAATTGTCTGAACAAGTTTACTTCAGTTAAATTGCTTCATTTACTTGCTTTATTTGGTTCTATTGATAATTGCTTTACTGCTTCGCAACTTACCTGGTAGTGCTTACATTCTCCAACACACTGATTTGCATTAGGACCATAACATGTCTGAGCACATTCTGGATGACAGATGGCACATGTTTCTGAAGGGACTACGGATGCAATGATTGCTTGTTCATCCATTTTTGCCAAGTCACTTTTAGTTAAGGGTAAAGTTCGACAAACAGGATTATTATTGGTCTTTCCCAGAATTGAATGATTGAAAGATGTTGGAAGTTCATAAAAGCCAGGATGATCTGTACAGCGAGACACGCAATACTCACCAGCCTTTAAACCACAACAATGAGCACACATATTAGCCTCAGCACCCCAACAACCAAGTTCTGGTAAACATTCACTGTGGCAAACGTGACCACGTTTAGCTACAAGAAAATGAACAGAATGTGCATATTAATAAAAAGCAGATGGCTAATCAAACATAAGCTTTAGATTTCCCTCCCTCCTCTTTAAGCTGAAAATTTGTCACATGGTTTGAAATGCAACGACATTCTGTAATTGTGGCTGTCAATGGTTTTCGTGAATATCTTTGATAAGTGGTTTAAAGGGACTGATCAGCTGAATATGCTGTAGACTAAACTGAGCATTCAGAATATTAAGATGAAGATTCCAGAGCTGAGGCTGATTAGTTTTATGAAAATTCAGACACCTACGATTCTACTCAATTTCAATCAGCTCAGACTTTTAGACTTACCATTGACTTTCTAAATTAATTGTTTAGAACCCCTAAACTTTCGTATGAACTAAAACTTCTCTCAATGATACATTCTTTTTAAGCTGCAATTGAGTAAGACTAAATAGTTTTTGAATATTGTTCAATTTTTAGCTCATTGAGAAATGAATTGATGAGTATGGTTGCATGAACTGGAACAATAAGAATTTCAATGCATCATCCAATATAATTCATATCTCAACAATCGAGTTTTTGCCTGCCGCCACTGTTATCATTTAGGATTTACTAAGCGAACATACTTTAAATTGTTAAAAAGAATGAACAGAATATTGATCGATGGATGATATACAATGATACGAAGTGGCTGAGAGATCTTTGAATTAACTAATATTAAAAGATAATATATCTGCCCAACAGAAACGTTTTTTCTCTAAGAAAATAACATGCTAATAGGTAAAACATTAACGGAAAAATAGTAAGTGTTAAAATTCATAGGCGATTGGCGAAAACCAATTTTACAAGTTACTCTCATTCAAAATAGTTAAGACATTACCCATCATATCAGTGCTAATTGTTGAAGACCTCATAACAGAATGGGAAAAAAGATATATATCTCGTACTGTCATCGTCAGCAAGCTATTTTGAAATGTTGATTATTGTAAATTCTCACATCATCAAAATAACATCATGGTAGTGTTTGGAGGTTTATAACTACCATGATTTGTTATATTGATACATATCTTTTCAAATTGCAAGTTATTGGTATGCAGAAAATTTCGCCTCATATTTGTAACACTCATTCAGCTCTGGAGTATTACAATTTACTAAATAATTGTACGAAATGATTCACTTTCACTCACATACTAATACTGCTCTTTAAAACAGTTTTTCATCAAGCTATTTCATGAGTTTCTTTGATTTACAATCTTCTCGGAGATCATTGGTGATTTCACAGTTTTCCTACCTACAACTAAAAATGTTGAAATTATCGTATCCTGTGTTGTTTCATCCCAGCGAAGTTCACACGTCAGACAGCTGCTTAATTCGTTTCCTACTAAACTTATTCAGTAGCTCATTAAATCCAGCTGCCTGGTTGCAATCGTCTCAATGGTGGATTTATAAAACGTGCTGATTAGATAAATTATTATAATGAGATTATGTGCCTAGTATGTGTTTGAAACTGAAATCTATCGAATTTGTTATTGGACGGAACAATTTCATGTTTAAGTTTGAACAAAAATTTTCTCAATATCATATTTGGTTTTATTTATGAGCTAGAAGATAGAAAAGATTATTGTTGAATGTCTTATCTATCAATTTTTCAGTCAACTTAACGATTAGGCACCTTTTAGAATACTTCTCAGAGTACTTTTTGATTTATAATGAACAGCTTCTGACTGATCTAGACCAGTATATATTTTACAATTGAACGTGGTCGATAGAACGCACTTATATATTTTCATAAGCATGCTAAATCGTTTAGCTTACAAAAGCTGATATTTATTTACCAACGAACAAGTATGTGAGCTATAATAGGGACAGGAGATCTATAATACACAACTACTGATACGATTTCTATGAGATTGTAATCAGTAAGTCTTATACGTAGCTACTATTCAACCAATAAAATGACTAACTTTTCATGATCAAAAATGTCTGTTTTCTCCCAACATGAACGACTTTCGAATCGGTAATTTAGGATATCACCGATAACCGTTACATAAATACATAGTTTAAAGTAAATTGACATGTCCCTTTATGAACATATATTCTGGTCAAACGTGATAGTAAGATTTTCTAAAGATCATTTATTCGTGATGTAAATATTGAGATTTTTAAGGTGCTATTTTGTGTAAATTGGCCGAATTTTTAGGATGTTAATCTTGATTTAACGAAGGTGAATTCGTCCTCAAGGCGTACACTGGGTGATGAGTCCGATGTAACCCAACAAAATCTCACAGAAAAATAAAGCTATATATTGTTGTTAGAAATATGAATGCTGAATATATTTTTAGAAAAATGACAACCGATCGCTTTCATGATGAAATATCATGAAATTTGTTCGCCTATCACAACTGCACTAGCACTCTTAGCTGCAGATCTGTTGGTTATGTTGTGCTTGTTCTACCTTACAAATAATATTGAATAAATCTATTTATTATTAGTACCTCAGTACTTAAGTACGATTCACTTTTTAGTTGCGAGATGCGTCTAGTTCATTAGAACACAACTAGTGATAAAAATCAGAATTTTGTGTGTCCTATCCACTTTGTGCTTTTGATGACAAATAATAGGTTGCAAATGAAACAGTAGGTATTCATCAGTAAGTGTTAGGGATCGATATTGCTTACTTTAAAACAATCATAAGTGAGCTAATGCGATAATATATACTCAACTCCACATCTATGACAAGTTGGTTTTTGTCTCCGTATACTGATAATTTCTTTTATGAAGAGGTGGAATTCGAATTCATTATTAAAACATTCTTGTTAAGGAAGTAATCACTTTTATTCTACACAATTGTAGCTACATTGCCTTTTTTCGGTGTTACAACTAAATAATAAAAAATGAATGTTCGTTAACGTATGGAATATTTATGATGTATATAGTCATGGAATTTATAGATTGTTATCATCATATATCACAGATGGTAAGTTATGATGACAAAGTATCTGACACAAACATCATCTTTTTCCAAGACATTTTTCATTGAGATGCATACGGGATTTTTAAATGATTGGGCTCAATAAAGATTACATAATTCTCTGAAAAGCTCTACGCTGGTTTTAACGGCAAATATGTTATTTCTCAATCAACTAGTGATAACAAATTAATAATATTTTTCGGTGAGTTATATCGTGACTAAACAATGGTTTTTTCCATAAAATTAAACGTTTTCTTATGGTCAGTGATAAATAATTTCTCGGAGGCACTTGAATGCTATTTAGTGGCACTTTATTACAAAATATGAATGCGATCTGTTTCACGATACCTCAGGATGTAACCTTCACAGCTGTAATACATCAAAGTTCCATCAAGGTCTGTATCGTTAGGTTGGAGTAAAATAAGCATATATTATTTGTATTTATGTGCAGCAAGGCAACCTTACTCAAATATTTCTTTAGTTTCTTTTCTTTTCAAATGTCTTTAGACAAATAATACTCCACTATTATATATGTAAGACGAGTCTATTCATAAACTAGATTATCAGAATGCTTACAGAAGATCAATAAGATCTAAGGCAACTTTAAATGATCATACATAAAATATGAACATACCACAAAGTTCTTCATCTTGTACATCTATCATACGTACAGGTAACATTTTTGTTAACGCACTAATATAACATAATTTTGGCATATTCTTCAAATATACATAACCCCCAATATTAGTAAGTGATTTGAAACCAAATGACTCGATATGTTCTCCGTTCATAATTGTAATCACTGCTCCTGGCGATTGACTTTTCACTGAAAATGTTTAGAAGTATGTTATACTTTTAATCTTAGAAAATAATGGGTACATTTATTATTGAGTCGTTTATGTAATTGTAAGTGAACGTTTCTGTCATAATTATTAGATACGATAATAGCGCTGATCACCAAAGGTTAGAGATATTTTTAGCCTAGTTCCACCTATCAGAAACCCGTAGTATGTGAATAACATAAACATTACTGGTATTTAATAGTTCAAACCAGTTGCAAGGGTTAATGTGTTATAAGTCTATACTGTTAAACGTCAGAAAAGATGCTCTAAAGAATTATTTGTTCTAAAAACTCGTCCATAGTATTCAGTTAACCATAAATTCTTCAAACGGTCATTAGTATGTATTTTGTTTCCCACGAACTTCTAAATATTTTTTTGAAATATAACTTCAACATACCTTCCAAAACAACTGATTCTAGATTTTCCAGAAATGTTAAATTTTTTAATTCTTCTGGAGCTCCACGTAAATCAAAATAGATGTACCCAACAATTGATTTCAGGTTCAACAAATTGTAGAGTTCATTGACGTTTTCTATTGGATCTGGAAACAGTGAACTGTGAACAAAAAAAAAACAAAAATAATCGATAATCAATAACAAGAAATGTTTCAAACAATGAATTCAAACTAACAAATATATTATTTAATTATAATGAAGCAAACGAAATAAAATCGTAAATCTAAGTTCAATTTCTCTCTCTTTCTACTTTCATAACGTACCATAAACTCACTCTTAAAAGTTTGTTAGTTTAATTTGAAAGCACTCACATAGGTAGTGAGCAAGCATATCAGACGGCTTGGATCATTGTACAAAAATTGTAATCCGATATTTAAAAAATAACGGTCAAATTCGTACTTTTAATAGATTTTTGTCTTAATACTGAAGCGAATATATCATCAAACTACCATCAAGGAAGTTTGATATCGTATATTGAATTTTGGTTACATAGAACTGTCAGTAACTATCTTCAACCTAACAATGATATTGAAGACAATACAGTTACATGATTATCACATATCTTAAAGTCTTCTAGAAAAGTAAGAATAAATTACATGGAATGATAGTCACTATAAATTATAATAATCCGAAGGATAACTAAGGGTGTTATTTTGTATGAGGAAATGTGAGTCGTGAATAAATATGACATTATCTTTCCATGCTGTAAGACAAATTATTTTTGTGAATACCGTAAACTATTCGATTTTGGGTTTTCTAGAAGTTACGCATTAGATATCGTCACTTATTACGATATCCAAATAAGTTGTCCATATCGAAGTTTTGCAAATGAGTGTATAACCAGTTAGTTTTTATACCTTTCTGAGTCCAGTCTATTCTTTGATTTATTATGTTAATGACCTAACTAATATAATAAAAATTCATTTGAGAATATGATTTACAACTAACAACTCATTCGTTTCGTAAAACAATAAACAATGTAAACTTTGGAAAGCTAAGGCAGTATTGATAAGATAATCTTAAGAAATATAGCCAAATATTCTTTTATCGTGAAGTAAACAAAACTAACACAAATTCACCTTTTTTGAAAAGATTCTTTACTTATATACAAACCACCAGTATAATAAACACAAGATTTAAATTTCCGTAGTGAACTTGATTGTAAGATATTCAAACTTCCATTTAGAAAGATTGTTTCTTCTTTACAATCTGTGGTAAAAATTAAGAAAAAATGACAAAAATCCTTCATCCTTCCAATAAAACGATTGCTTAACAACAAGAAAAATTGTAAAATAGATTTCTGGTTTCAAGAAAACAGTAACTTCATGTTGACTGACTGAAACGTTATGGTGAATTTAAAGATCTTTCTTATGTGCATTTCCGTCACAGAAATACCGAGAGGCAAAGATTATTGGAAAGTTAAGAAGATTAATCAGTTCAAAATATTGTTTAATCGTTACAGCAGCCCATCAACTTAAAGTTTTAATATTTAAAATCGCTTGAATTGTTTTCTGAAGCATAAACTTCTTGTATGATCAAATTAATATTTCTGATGAAAATCAGTCCATTTGAAGCCCATATTAGCAATCATTGTTAAAGAATACCAAGATTAAATTCTCAGCCAGTGCGATACCTCACGCAATTTATGCTTAATCCCAAAAACATTGGTTGAGTTAACAGACAATCTGAAGCAACAATTTTCATGGCATACAGTGATCATTTTTAGTATTTCTTAGTAAATTACACGGAGCAGTGGTGTAGAACACTTGAATCCTCTCAGATTGGGTGTAACAAAGTTAGATGTAATTTTAAACAACAGAAAAAATCTACTAATGTATTTTTATGCGTTCAATTAATTCCTGAATGTGAAATCCCAGTGAAGAGATAACTAATTTACTTCGTATTAAGGCCCAAACTAAACGTTCGCACAGTCAACTTCAATCCCTATTCTTAAGCTAACTGATAGACTGAAAAACGAAGTAATCAATACTATTTAATGACTGTACTAAAGGTCCTTTACATAGAGAATTTGGAAATAGATTGTTTCAGTTTCCCCCCATTATTAGTGAAAAACAAAACTTGGAACTTACCAGTTTGTAAAGCAAATGTTTGGGACTTTTTATATTACAAAAAATCTTACAACAGCGTAATTCCATTATTTGTATTGATATTTAGTTAGATATATTTATTTGTAGCAAGATATTAGTCTAAAAAGCTTGATATAGATATCAAGGACCTCATTGTAGCTATTTTATATACTTTTAATTGGAATATCAACCCAAACTTGATTGTAAAGTTTCCTTGATACAGCTTTATCCTCAAATTTAAATGTCCTTCCCGGTGATAAGAGGATATAAATTAAATAATTAACCAAAGTATTACTGAAATATAATTTCCTCAACGTATAAAATATCATTACAATACCTTGGTATTTCCGTTACCACTGAGTTTCATAGTCAAAAGCTGTGATACAATAAGCTAAACCGTGCAAGACTCTTTCAGACAGTATGTTCCAGTTCATTTTTGAACGGCTTCGGAGTTCTAGTTAGTATAATATTTGAGTTTCATTATACAATCAACGTTTTCAAATTAAATTATCCACCCGAAATGTGGACATGTTTCCTTCAAACAGGAAAGAAAGTATAAGGACTGTCTAAGGAAGTAAACTAATTATAAACATTTAAGAAATATAACTAACTGTTGCTTTTAGGAGATTTAGTATATGTAGAAGAAAGGTGTATGATGGATTAAAAAAACTTACGGAAAGATAGAAATTTTATCATTTTGAAAGCTATCCGGTTTTTACACTTGATGTTTCAAATATAAGACCATTGTTTGTTTTACGAAAAACCTTTGAATGAATTTGACTGTCTCATATACCTCAAACTAAACAAAGTTGTCAAAACGAGTTACATTTCATGCTCATTTTCCTATGTCAAACAGAATGTCCTTTACCAAAAATTAAGCCTGGATCTGACTCAATTTGTTTCACATCATAGTTGAACAGGGTACATTGCGAAAACGGTTTAAGAGGATAAAATATATGTTTAACACCGTGCGTCTCCAGGTAATAGTGTTTGATTGTTGTTTGTAAGCACGAAATCGGCAAATCAAAAAGTGGTTGATATTCCTAAATACAATCTTAAAAGTAAGAACAAGTAACCGTAAATACTACGTAGAAGAGTCTTGACTCTGAAATTCAACGAAGCTGTTCTATAGAATCCACATTTTTCTTACTTTCATCTCATTTCATCTTAATGTTTGAGAATTCCAAACAGAGTAAACACGAACTAACCCTTTATCAGCTTGTCATAACTTATTAATAACTAAACCGAAAATATGATTTCCTGATAAGGTGTAAATTTATTTTCCCATGTAGATAAAACGTTCAACATCTACAGAGTTTTGGAATAAACAATTGAAAACTCAACTGGAAGTGAGATTAGAAGAAAATCGTTCAAATGTTCATGGTGGTTATAAATTATTACTGCCATCGCGAGCACTTTAAGCCGGATACATTTACAAACGCTTTATTTCTACTCAGCTGTTATGCTTTACTTCAGTTTTATTATGCTTTCCTAAACTGAAAGTATAAAATTCAATTCATTTTCAAAACTGGTGTATTCTAAATTCATCTAGCCTGTGTAAAGTTGAGCTGTTTTACAACAAACTTGAAACTCGAAGAAACTTTCCCGCCATCTTATGACCTGTTGAAATGAAGTAGTAATTCTTCTATTTTGTTTTGATGATGTATTGATGCATTTTAAATGTCGTGACAATGAATATGGAATTACTTATAGTTTATTATTTTTTACGTGATCTGTCTCAACATCATAAAGCATCAGTGAAAATGAATTCATCCATCTACCGGTAAATTTACACATTAAAAAATGAGTTGATCGTTCCAAGTGTAAAAAGTTAACTGTATTTATTGTAAAAAAATGTGCGGTATCGAAGTTGCTTCAATGTGTTGTACAATGCATACACAAAGTCAACAGCGTTAAAAAGTAGGCAAATGACTATTTCATATCAAAGAAGTAGATTTTTCATAATTGTCAATACCCCAGTTTTTAAACTCGAAACAACCGATGGAAATATGAGTTTCGATATGCGTTCAAGTAATTATTGGAAAAGTCATGAAAGTTTTACCAACAATTTGAAAAAGTGAAGATATTTATATTCCGCGGATCCCTTCAGTTTCAATTGGCATGAAATTACAAATTTTCAAATTAGTAGCATGGGTAAATGTTTATAAAATTTTACGTAAAACGCTTTGCATAAAACTTACGTTCAGGACATCCAGATTTTGGACAGTCCTTGCACGTTCCATTAACAGGAATTTGGGTATTCAGGTCACATTCAATGACGCAGTAACTGTCTGATTTCAGAAATGGTGCTATATGAAGTCAATAGAAATTACAGTTATCTTACAAGTAAGAAATAATACAGTAAAACCAATCCTACAGGATTACTACCAAAATATGAAGTGAGTACTGAATTTAAAGCTTATGAAAACCAACATGATATCACTTCTTTATCAGTTTGTAACTGGATATCTGTTCAAGTTTTACTATACACTCTAAAAAGATATCATTTAGTTAAAATATGCTTTCCATTTTAAGCAAATGCAAGTACTTTGACTAACATAGTTTCAAAAATTTACTTTTCAAAATTTTACAGCTCCTGAGGTCTTATTTAATAAAAAAGCAACAAGATTTCAATAATAATTTCTCCTAATATAATAAAATGATATAGGAAAATAAAATGTGGATCCTAATATTTACATAAGTTACATAATACGTGCCAGTTCAGTTATACATTACATTGAAATTAAAAATCTTTATATCGAAAAAATGATCCACATCCAGAAATAAAGTAACTGAGATAGACTTGATGAAAGATTTAATTGCACATACAAAGATGATGGACTAAGTTGCAAAAGTATGATCGGTGGCACTTTTCCACCCAGCATTAAGTCATGGTGTACCAGACCCTCCGAAATTTAAAACTGAATTTTTGTATAATTATGTTTCAGGATCAGAGGTTAAGTTTCACTGTTTGTAAAATGAATAAATAAAACTAAGATTTGAAAGTAATTAGTAACTATAGGCAACTAATGGTGGTGAAGTCGGCGCTAATTTTAGATTCCTGGGAGCCGGTAGACATCACTAATGCATCACTCACAGTTAATTATAGAGAGCTTGACGTTATGAATTGGAGTGTGTCTGCTCCACAAAAATTAAATATTCATGATTGTCTAGGAAATGTGGCATCAGAACATTAAGCATCATTCATGTTTTCGAGATTAAGTATGAAGTCAAGCAAAAGTTTATGTTTTTATTAAGTTTACAAGTCAAATGTTTATTTTTAGTTTGATTAGCTTAATTTCTCTACAGTTTGTAGATTAGGTAACGAAGCAATAATGAAAGTTGTCCAGTATTGTAGAATAATATCATAGTCAATGGAATATTTAATGTTGTGTAACTTTTACTAAGATGCGTAAACAACTAGTCTTAAAAAGGTGAGCTATCAAAGTTAGCACACATAACCGTATAAATTTAAATATCCCTCAGTGAATAAACAGATTTATTTAAATATGATAGTGTACTTCAAGTAAAGAAAATACCTTAAAAATAGTTGAACAAACTTGTAATACTTAAAAAATCATAATTAAAATGTAATTGAGCATAAAACATCACTGAAAACGGTTAAATGACAAGCGAAATACTGTGAATATACAGAGAATTTCCCCCCCTCCCTAAGGTTATCAGAAAGCAATATAAATAAATGCCGACTAAACCAAAACGTGAACCAAAGGTTTACTAACAGTTATTTCATTCATACTCTCGTCTTATCTGTGAAATAAATAATAAAACTTAATTTACATTTCAACTGGGCATACAGAACAGTAAATTTCTCAAGGCAGAATAAATACCATTCGTTGAATTTTCATTCTCATCATAATTTTAATGGTTTATAGAGTAATTACTATGAGTTGTTTGATCAAACTAAATAATACTAAGCCATTTTCACAGTGTTCAAAGATAGAAGGATCTATCTAACTTGCCCTTGTGATAAGTAATAGGCTTGACATGATAAATAAATAACGATATGGTAAATGCAGTAAAAAGCAAATCAATAAATAAACGAATAAATAATCCCTTTTTAATATGTTTATGAACCAATTTTGTCAGTCAACACAGACAGTTATTTGTTTAATGAATAACGATTTAACTAATGATAATTAATTAGCATCTAAAGCAGAAAAAATAGGCCATTGGATCACTCCAGCAATTTTGTATACATGAATGAAATTATTTCCTGTTGATAAAATAAATTCAGATTAACTTCACTTAAACCAAATACAAAATCTGTTAGTTAAAATACAGTGTCTGTGAGTGGCAGTTCCAATAATGTGACTAAATATATTGTACGGAACAATAGTCATGGTGTTGAGTTCCTAGAGCAATAAAATATTATTCAGAGACATTCCTCTCGTTGAACTTTAGCATACAAAGTTCACTGTAGTAATGCATTTATGGCAGTTTAGTCATAGTATTACAAATTAACTTAGTGATCAAGGTGAACAATGGAAATGTACCATGAAACATGTCACCACGGAAATAACAAGTAAACATAAATACTACATATTCACTCAGTTCGACAAGAAATCTTGATCTAACTAAAATAGTTTTTTTATACAGAGCTGAGAAATCACTTTATTGAAGAAACTGTTGCTATAAAGTAAGTTAGCACAAGGAATATACAAAAAAATGAAATGAAATTCGAAAACTGAAGTTTTATGAATAAATGTTATGATATAGTCAGATAATGGTTAGTAGGTTATTATTCTGAATAGCTCATTGAGAGTAAATTGAAATATGATTCGAGTGATAGTATTAAAACTCAAAGTAAAATGATGGGTAGTTCATTGTATTTGATTTATACATACTACCTATTATATTTCGAAGGATAATATTCGATTAATTCTTTTCATCCTATAATCAAGTAACAGATTTAAATGAAACTGATAGGATTTGTTTTTCTCAACGATATTTTTGCTATGAATAAAACGATGATAGTACTCGTCAGAAGCTGTCATTTATAACAGTGTGTGTCGATGAAAAAATAAATAGCTAAATAGATACCATCTGCTTTAATGTCACTTCTTTTCACCTATATAAAATAGCTGCACAGTTTTCTTTTATTTCTCTTCGACACCTATAGAACGGGTCTATAAGTGTCTTTACAAGGATAAGAATATAATAATTTGTGATATATCTGCTCAAAAAGCGTATGATTTATGTTTGTTTATAACTGATTTGTTTTATTTGATTCCGATAGACCTGATAACTCAGGCGAAACCTTATGTTATTGGTAATGGATACTAAAAATAAGGTCTTGATATACTAAGAAAAAAATACTGACCTTGTAAAGTTTTTTTGTATTTCTAAAACATGACCAGACAATTTTTTTGGTTTTAACTTTAAAAATAAAACATATATATTTAGGAAATACTAACTGCTCAAGTAAATAGTGCGGAATTTCACGGCAGATAGAGGAAAACTTACTCTAGAGTTTTGAACTAGTGGCGTAAAATGTTATACTCTAAATTAATCATTTTTGGACTCGATGAAGCTAAATTGATAAATTCCTTATGTATTTCAATTCACTGAACCACAGTGTAATCGTCATTTGATATGTTTAATTAACTTGAACAGTTGTTTGCAGATATAAGTAAGTAGCTGTCAAAGTAAATTTATTTTAAAATTTCAATTTTATTCCAAAGGGAGACAGAGTTTCTTTGCAATCACAATTTGAACATAATCTGTAAAACACATCAACAGGTTCAATCTGATATAGGTTGATTCAGATTTTGAATATAAATTGAAGTAAGAAGATCAAGATGACGGAAAATCGGCCTTGTCTTGTTGAATGACAACATTAATTTCTTAATTTAGGGAGCGAAATATTAATATGCACTATTGTAATAAGAGGTTAAATGATCACACTAGTAGCAGGGATATCAATTTTCCGCAGTATTGAGACAGGAAACCCAAACAAAATGTGACCACTGTTTGCATTTTATTACTCAGAATAATACTTTAAAGAAATGGTGATTCGGACTATTACATCTTTCTTTTACTTTGTTTCAATCTTAATTCTGTAAATGAATCTAAAGTTTACTAATTTATTCCATTTTAAATATCTTTGCTACCCCAGTTGAATTATAAGTAAAAGTATGAGTATTAATTAAGTAGTTAAATATTATCAAATGCAAAAATAATATGATAATGCAGTTAATATTTGAGTAAGAGTTTTGATTTTTGTAACTTATGAATCAGGAAAATTAATAATGTACGATATCTTTTTGAGAAGCATCATCATAATTCAATAGTTAAAGCTTTTCCGTCATGTCTTTCAAGTCTTCAGCTCTATTCATGTATAAATTATCCTGTGAGTTACACGCCCGGAACTGTGACCATTTAACAACGTCTCTATAGAATCGGCATCGAGTGTGTTACTCTGTCTTTCTTAGTTCATTTATTAGAATCTCACTATCATTTTTAGAAACTATCCAGCCACCATAGGTAAAAACATTCAGTCGAAATAGTTTGAACAGATGTGTTTTGAAATATTTTGCGTAGGGATAAATTATTACGTTGATAAGAAGCTCAACTAACAGTAAACAATCTTCTTAATTTCTAAATCATATGTAAGACAATTTAACCTAAAGAGTAGAGTTTATCCACATATCTTAATGTTAGTGTGTAGTCTGATTAATTATTTCCATGCATAGTAGAAATATAGTGCAATTTCTACAGTCTATGTAGATGTTTTGTTATTTGATGTAAAAAACAATTTTCGCTCATTGTATAATGGAAAAACTTTACTTTGTCTACACCCGATTAGTTAATAAGTAGTTCCGGATGACACGTTTAGAAATACTAGGGACATTGTTTACATGCGACAGACAGTAACACTATTTTGAGAAAGATGCTCATGTACACTTACATGTTGAAAATACACAGAAACGTTTATCCCAAAAACATTATTTGAAATGAGTGGATTTGATAAATTAATTAAATTCTTTGCTGTTTTCTGTGAGAAAAAAGGATTTTCAACAACATATGTTTCTTCAAAACTCCATCAATAAAGTGAACTAATAGAACTTATTTCAATTATTAGAATAAGTAATTTGAAAAAAATGTAAACTCATTAAAAAAAAGACACGCTTAAATGCTCTTCTTAGAATATGATTACCAGTTTTTAATTAGGTCATCAGTAACATGTGAATTAAACTCTGCTATTGCTTAGTCAATACCGCTCATCACCATTACCATCATTCCCAAGCATCACTTATTAAAGATTCTTAAATAATGTTATTTTTGATAA